ATTGCTGGCCTAGCTAACATCTTGGTAGAACTAGACTCAAGAAACGATGCTCCTGCTTCCATGCCGCCTGTTCTGCCACATCAGCTTGTGAGACTGCGCGGTCGAGAGCTCACCGACATTATTCGCAAGCAGAAGGATCATGTGTCCTCCCGCTCACCCCTGCAGAATGAAGAGCTTATTGAGCGGGAATTTTAAAATCTGCAAGCCGCTTACAATCGCGAGACTTTTTGAAGCAGGTCCTACATCAGTGCGACGTCAAGACTACGTTTGTAGTTGGATGGAACTACGTGCACGAGTACTTCAAGCACCTGAATTAGTTCTTTGAAAGTCTGGTCACCGCATTTCTTGGCACGTCTAGTGTGGAGAGTGAATTCTCCATTTTCAAATAAAATGATGATGATTGCCGGATTGGTTGTACAGACTTCTCTCTGTAAGGCATTTTACAGGCCAAGCAATTCGAGACAATGTCGTCAATTTCGCTATGAGGCTTTTTTAGCAGAAAAAGCTCAATATCTGTCCATTTAGGTGACATTCATACCGGTACCACAATTAGCCACTTAAGACTTCATCAAACGCCACCATTAGTTTAATCGTGGTAATAGTGGAAATTTCCACTATTAAAGTGGCCTGTGGATGTCCGACGGAATGTATTGCGAAACCTAATACATACAATAATTGATACAACAGTGATAAATTTCTGCTCATGTTAATGCAAAATCAGGTAATCAGAATGAAGTTCTGCTGCAAATAGAAGCCAATGAGACTGCAGGAATAGGATAGATGAACGCAAATGCAAAATGAAAAATTAGCCAATTCGAAAAATTCAGCCAATTATGCCAAATCAGCCAATCAGAATGTAATTAAAGGAGCACGGGATTTCTCGGACGGACGAACACAATTTTTCTACTATATGGAATAGGGTTTCACCCGTCTTTCCGACGGAAGTAGTATGTATAGGCATTTTAAACGCAGCGATTTGCGAGGGTGCTTACCCGTCATTCCGACAGATTTGGTACGCGACGTCTACGGTAATAATTTATTTACTTGGTATATATCACGTCGTTTCGATGGAACGATGCGCGAAGCCGACGTTGCTAGGGTGTGTGGCCGTCACTCCGACGCATAGGACGGCAAAATTTACGCTGACAGTATATTGTCCCATTTAGGGTGTTCACGTGTCGTTCCAACGGACATGGTGCGCGAAGTTTACACTGATAGTATATATAGGACTCCTTAATAGAAAAAGCAGGGTTTCGCTGGGGTGTTCACCTGTCGTTCCCACGGATAGGTGCCGCGGACCGATTATAGACTAAATGATATAAAAAAGACCGAATGTATGTATACTACTTTCAGCCTGCTGAATTCTGTATAGAGAGCTTGCATTAGTATGCAAAATTCGCCAATCCGAGACTTGCCGCAAAATCAGCCAATCAGATATACCCAAAAAGGATTCACATGGACGGACACTACTCTATAGATTTCTTTTTCTATTCCAGGGAATGGCTCTCACTGTCTTTCTATACAATTATCTAGTATGAAAAGGATAGTCGATCTTCTACCGCTCTTGATAGATTTGACAACACGACGAGCTACAACTCGACGACCGGAGACTCGACGAGCGAAAACTATGTGTGGTCGAATTATGTCATACTACAGGAATATCACATTTGTAATATCCCCTAGACCACGACAATATTTTGCAGAGGAAGGATGGTGTATTTTTTGGCCTTGGCAAACATTACGATGATTTGCGTTGGCCGATCGTTTAGCAGCGGGAAGCCAGCAGAAGAATGTAATCTATCTTGCTTGATATCTGCAGATAATTTAGCGCGACGCGTGAAAAATTCATCGCGAAAGTGTAAAACATGTTTTCGAGCTTTTATAGCTGAAAACCGAAGGAGAACAGAACTTTACAAAAGCCCATTTAACAGTCCTGCACTTCCACTACATCTACATATCTTCTAGTCATAGGTGAAGTACGATTAGAAGATATTCTGCGCTCCCTAGTCGTCCACGGTGTGGTTCCTTAACCGGTCTAACTATGGGCTTTGCTCACTACTGAAGACTCGATTTGGTTCTACTCTCCCACGGCTACTGTTGCGTTTCCCAGAATCCTTCAGGCTCTTTACAACTGGCCAACCGCTCGAAAAGTCGAGCTTGTTCCAACCAAAGAGCTTGTCACTATCAGCATATCCAACGCGGGTGTCGACTGCACAAATATCACAATCAAGATCGTTAGCACTCAGCTATCCCTAGGCGACAACATTCAAGCGCTTAGCTTACCGTAGTGGTAGTACAACACAGGACCATACTTCGGGTCTTTATACACACCCTGACCGCCTGGTGCGTAGACGTGGTCGTGCGACTCAAGCACAACACTTCCGCCATCTTTTCGGCAGTCAATACCGTTCTTGTCAACAAACTCCGCAGTTGGGCTTTTTGACCGGCACACAAGGATACGATACTCCTTGCCCTTCGCCGGTTTTTTCTTGTCCAACTCGCAGCAAATACCTTGGGAGAAGAAAAGATAGTAGTAGCCCTTGTAGGCAAACTCATACGCACCCTCCCTGACCTCGTTGTTAAGCGTAAACGCCGACTGTTGCGGGACCACATTCACCGCTAGCTTCGTAGGGTCAGAATCCATCTGGACTTGGTGGATACCTAGCCAGGAGCTACCAAAATTGAGATAGTACTGGTCATTGTCTTTGAACAGGTTCGGATCAATCGCATTATACTGCTTGGACGAGTCGCTCGTAATTCCGACGCTGCCAACATCAGTCCACGTGCCAATATCCATCGTCTTGGATCGGGCGAGGCCAATGGCCGAGTTTTGCGATTTATAACTGCTCAGCGAGTAGTACAAGTAGTACATGTCACCAACCTTCTGGACATCGGGAGCCTAGATTGTATCACAACAGATATCACCGTCAATCAGAATGTGCTGGTTAACGACCTCAAGTTCTTCACGTAAAAGGTATAAATTACCCAGAACATCCGTTGGCCCTTCAGCTTGACCTTGGATCCGTGCGGAAGTACGTTACCCATGTCCTTCCAAGGACCTGTAAGATCTGGCGCAGTGTACACGCAGATAGTGCGGCCGGTGGAGAAACGAAAGTATTTGCTGTCTTCATCACGGCGAATAATCGACGGGTCGTGGGCATTTCCGCAGATGCCTTTGCACTTTTCCGGGTTGGCGTATCCGCTAGCAAGGTCTGTCACGAGGAGTGGAAGTCCAACGAGGATCGACGAAAGCTTCATTGTTCGAATTGGCACGTAAGTCGTGTTCACTGTCGCTGTCGAATTGGAATATGTCATGTCGAAAAGCGCTCGAACCGAGCACAACAGTATCATATTATACCTTATGGTAAGTCAGTTCAAAACGTGCAATTGACATAATATGTGTTGTAAGCTTGTAATATTGCATCCAAAGAACTAATCACTGTCCGACCTAACCAGCCCAGTTGCGTCAGCAGCCCATCAAGAAGGGTCAGTGATATTCGCCGCATTTTGCGAACTTGACGTTGCGTATGCACCCCAAGCTAAATAACCGTTTCGACGTGCCCTTGCGCAGACTTTTCCGTGAAGCTAAGCCCGTAGACTGAGCCAGTGAGGACAGGACTAATACAGTTCGGGTAAAAGTATACTAGTCATCAAGCACTTCCTCGACGTTCTGATCTCTTTCTTTGCTCACGATCTGACCATACTTAAGTTTTGTATGAGACGAAGCTTACGAACCGATCGAGCTTTTTTTTATCTAACTCGTTTAGGCCAACTGTTGGGTATTTCATACGACTTTCTTGTACAAAGCCGTAGCGCTCGCATATTGCATTGCATTCGTTAAATATTTGACACAACATGGACGACCGACCATCTGGGAGTGACCAAAAGCGTTACACATGCAAGACTTTCTCGTTTCATAAAACGAGATCTCCAAACGTCAAGCATTGCAAGTCGTCATGTGGTTTTGCATGTTTTTCGATGGCATCGAAAAATGTTCGAGGAAAAAGTGCGTCAAAAGTTTTCAACAACGTTCTGAGCTAGAACTTTTGATGGCATAACGCTTACTTTAGAACTACTTCAGTGTTTCCATCATGAGGGGATCATTTTCGAAACTCTCAAATGGCATTACGACGGTCTTCACGATTCCTGCGCTTGGCGACGTCAAGTCGAATATATGTAAACGTTTCGACTGTGATTCAAGCCCGCCATATGAGCAATGCACAAGAGAAATTAGGTCTTGCTATGGAAGAACGTTATGCATGCAAATCTTTTCTCCCGGATGCAGTACCGGACAAGACACTTGAAGAAATTCTTAAACTGACGCTTGTGTGTAATATCGCTTGCAATACTTATAGTACCAATTTGTATGTATTAAGCAAATGTATGCATTGTTACAGAGAGCTCCGACGGGATTCAACACGCAACCGTTACTCTATAGATTTCTTTTTCTATTCCAGGGAATGGCTCTCACTGTCTTTCTATACAATTATCTAGTATGAAAAGGATAGTCGATCTTCTACCGCTCTTGATAGATTTGACAACACGACGAGCTACAACTCGACGACCGGAGACTCGACGAGCGAAAACTATGTGTGGTCGAATTATGTCATACTACAGGAATATCACATTTGTAATATCCCCTAGACCACGACAATATTTTGCAGAGGAAGGATGGTGTATTTTTTGGCCTTGGCAAACATTACGATGATTTGCGTTGGCCGATCGTTTAGCAGCGGGAAGCCAGCAGGAGAATGTAATCTATCTTGCTTGATATCTGCAGATAATTTAGCGCGACGCGTGAAAAATTCATCGCGAAAGTGTAAAACATGTTTTCGAGCTTTTATAGCTGAAAACCGAAGGAGAACAGAACTTTACAAAAGCCCATTTAACAGTCCTGCACTTCCACTACATCTACATATCTTCTAGTCATAGGTGAAGTACGATTAGAAGATATTCTGCGCTCCCTAGTCGTCCACGGTGTGGTTCCTTAACCGGTCTAACTATGGGCTTTGCTCACTACTGAAAACTCGATTTGGTTCTACTCTCCCACGGCTACTGTTGCGTTTCCCAGAATCCTTCAGGCTCTTTACAACTGGCCAACCGCTCGAAAAGTCGAGCTTGTTCCAACCAAAGAGCTTGTCACTATCAGCATATCCAACGCGGGTGTCGACTGCACAAATATCACAATCAAGATCGTTAGCACTCAGCTATCCCTAGGCGACAACATTCAAGCGCTTAGCTTACCGTAGTGGTAGTACAACACAGGACCATACTTCGGGTCTTTATACACACCCTGACCGCCTGGTGCGTAGACGTGGTCGTGCGACTCAAGCACAACACTTCCGCCATCTTTTCGGCAGTCAATACCGTTCTTGTCAACAAACTCCGCAGTTGGGCTTTTTGACCGGCACACAAGGATACGATACTCCTTGCCCTTCGCCGGTTTTTTCTTGTCCAACTCGCAGCAAATACCTTGGGAGAAGAAAAGATAGTAGTAGCCCTTGTAGGCAAACTCATACGCACCCTCCCTGACCTCGTTGTTAAGCGTAAACGCCGACTGTTGCGGGACCACATTCACCGCTAGCTTCGTAGGGTCAGAATCCATCTGGACTTGGTGGATACCTAGCCAGGAGCTACCAAAATTGAGATAGTACTGGTCATTGTCTTTGAACAGGTTCGGATCAATCGCATTATACTGCTTGGACGAGTCGCTCGTAATTCCGACGCTGCCAACATCAGTCCACGTGCCAATATCCATGGTCTTGGATCGGGCGAGGCCAATGGCCGAGTTTTGCGATTTATAACTGCTCAGCGAGTAGTACAAGTAGTACATGTCACCAACCTTCTGGACATCGGGAGCCTAGATTGTATCACAACAGATATCACCGTCAATCAGAATGTGCTGGTTAACGACCTCAAGTTCTTCACGTAAAAGGTATAAATTACCCAGAACATCCGTTGGCCCTTCAGCTTGACCTTGGATCCGTGCGGAAGTACGTTACCCATGTCCTTCCAAGGACCTGTAAGATCTGGCGCAGTGTACACGCAGATAGTGCGGCCGGTGGAGAAACGAAAGTATTTGCTGTCTTCATCACGGCGAATAATCGACGGGTCGTGGGCATTTCCGCAGATGCCTTTGCACTTTTCCGGGTTGGCGTATCCGCTAGCAAGGTCTGTCACGAGGAGTGGAAGTCCAACGAGGATCGACGAAAGCTTCATTGTTCGAATTGGCACGTAAGTCGTGTTCACTGTCGCTGTCGAATTGGAATATGTCATGTCGAAAAGCGCTCGAACCGAGCACAACAGTATCATATTATACCTTATGGTAAGTCAGTTCAAAACGTGCAATTGACATAATATGTGTTGTAAGCTTGTAATATTGCATCCAAAGAACTAATCACTGTCCGACCTAACCAGCCCAGTTGCGTCAGCAGCCCATCAAGAAGGGTCAGTGATATTCGCCGCATTTTGCGAACTTGACGTTGCGTATGCACCCCAAGCTAAATAACCGTTTCGACGTGCCCTTGCGCAGACTTTTCCGTGAAGCTAAGCCCGTAGACTGAGCCAGTGAGGACAGGACTAATACAGTTCGGGTAAAAGTATACTAGTCATCAAGCACTTCCTCGACGTTCTGATCTCTTTCTTTGCTCACGATCTGACCATACTTAAGTTTTGTATGAGACGAAGCTTACGAACCGATCGAGCTTTTTTTATCTAACTCGTTTAGGCCAACTGTTGGGTATTTCATACGACTTTCTTGTACAAAGCCGTAGCGCTCGCATATTGCATTGCATTCGTTAAATATTTGACACAACATGGACGACCGACCATCTGGGAGTGACCAAAAGCGTTACACATGCAAGACTTTCTCGTTTCATAAAACGAGATCTCCAAACGTCAAGCATTGCAAGTCGTCATGTGGTTTTGCATGTTTTTCGATGGCATCGAAAAATGTTCGAGGAAAAAGTGCGTCAAAAGTTTTCAACAACGTTCTGAGCTAGAACTTTTGATGGCATAACGCTTACTTTAGAACTACTTCAGTGTTTCCATCATGAGGGGATCATTTTCGAAACTCTCAAATGGCATTACGACGGTCTTCACGATTCCTGCGCTTGGCGACGTCAAGTCGAATATATGTAAACGTTTCGACTGTGATTCAAGCCCGCCATATGAGCAATGCACAAGAGAAATTAGGTCTTGCTATGGAAGAACGTTATGCATGCAAATCTTTTCTCCCGGATGCAGTACCGGACAAGACACTTGAAGAAATTCTTAAACTGACGCTTGTGTGTAATATCGCTTGCAATACTTATAGTACCAATTTGTATGTATTAAGCAAATGTATGCATTGTTACAGAGAGCTCCGACGGGATTCAACACGCAACCGTACGCCTGTGTGCTGGTACGTGAGCAAAAGGACCGTGAAAAACTGGTAGAAGCGATGATGGACAGCAATGCCCGCAAGGTTAAGGAGGCCCCAGTGGTGGCAGTCTTTGCTGCTGACTGCGGTGAGTCGAGAGCTCTGGATAAAATACATTTTGAGATTTGGAACTGACTTGTGGCTTGTATTCTAGAGCCTAGCAAGCGCCTACCGCGTTTGCAAAAGCTGGCCTATGACAATGGGGCCCCTGTTGATGTCGTGAGCAACATGCCGCACGTGGTGCGTCTTTTTTCAGGGGAGGGTATGGTTGCGAGTGGTCTTCGTGCAGCCATTGCAACGGTTTTGTCACCACTCATGCCTGTTCCTTCGAACGTATCCACTGAAGCATGGGCATTCAAACAGACAACGTTTGCTGCTGCTGCTTTTCTGTATGCGGCACAGGTGCACGGCCTTGCAACGTGTCCGATGGAAGGATTCGATCAGATCCGCGTGAGGAACGCATTGGACATTCCAGACCGCTATGGTGTGCCGGTAATAATAGCTCTTGGTCATCCGAATCCGTCTGCAAAGCCTGAAAAACCGTCCGCAAGACTGGATCCGACGGAGGTATTCTTTGATGGCAAGTTTGGTGACTCGAGTGACCAAATCTTCTCCAACAAGTAAGCGACATCAGAACAAACCACAGCTCTTGCTAGACAGTCGCTACAGCCGTGTGAAGGTCCGTCCATTGTCAACACTTCCGATTGAGTTGCTTCAAGGTGCGTAACTACGACTGATTAGTCATCAATGAGCCACCCAGCATCGCTGTCATCAAGTGTACACACAGCAGCAAAGAACGCGATGCTGTTGCTTGTAGCAAAGTTAATGAAGCAAACATACCCAGACATTTATTTGAAGTGTATTGAAACGTACAGCTTGATAAAATGGTTAGGAGGGATCTTAACGAAGTTTAATCAACTTACTCCTTAAGTTTGCCCTTACTGGATGTCAATACTCTCACTTCTTGATGCTACAACTCACGTCCTCCATCACAGCAGTATCGTATAAAGACACCAGTAAACTCGATGTTGTTACAGCACTTCATAGCGGCCTCGATGACGCACCCATGTCCACCTACACGGTTGCTGCCCTACCACCCTCAGCAACAATCATATCATTTACATCGCTAGTCCGAGTCTTGTAAGGCATGCATGTCATCCATCATAATCGTCTCACGAGCGCTTGTTGGTGATCCCATGACATAGTCACTTTCATTGTTGATTAAATAATCGTATCGACTGTGGTCATGTACATTAGCAGGAGTCAAAGTCGGCTGGAATAACAGCCCGAGTTCGAAGGAGAGATAAGAAAGCACGGAGCGATGACTTGTAGTTCTCAAACAACATTCCCGTGACTTTATTGGGCAAGCGTCGACAGACATCAGATGGAGGAATATCCTAAAAGCGTGCCTTCATTGGTCATAAACTACTTTCTCGATTGTTCCCAGTCCCATCGGATCCGTTCATTCGATCCCATTCATCAATTCCATTTGATTGTAGCAATACAGTAGCAAACATGGCTGCAATCGACCAAGCCAAGTGGCAAGCACTTATGAAGTGGACAATGAAACAAACGGACGGTACGACACCAGCACAAGCAACGCCCATTTCAGAAGATAAGCGACGATTCTTAGAAATGGTCATGAATGAAGGTGTCATTGATGAAAACGAGCGTGTGAAGGACATTCTGCGTATTCTAAAGGGCGAGAACCCACGACTTGTCTTTGGTACGGAGGAAGGTGTTATTGCAGATGAAAATACGGATCCATCCGATGAGGAGCTTGCACACTACAAGGACACGCTACTTGATGAGCTATTGACACGGATTGATCAGATTGACAATGCCCAAAACTTTGTGAAAATGGGCGGCCTCCGTGTCCTGATCAATGTTATTGAAACGTATCAGCAGTCAACATCTCGTGCCTTGGCGGCTGAAATTTGCTCTGTTGTGGTGCAAAACAATCCCTTTTGTCAGGATGCAGCAGTGGACAGTGGATTGCTTGAGGTGCTCTGCACATTGGCTCGTGACGACAAGGACGTCACTTGTCGTGTGAAGGCCTTACTAGGCATCTCATGTTTGGTGCGTCACCACGCCCCGGCCGAGAAGAGATTCCTTGGAGACAGCTGCAGAGGTTTGGATCTCTTGCGTAGGAACTTGGAAGACGCCACAGATATCCGACTGCAACGCAAGTCGCTCTTCTTCCTCCGTTATTTGATCCGTAACACCCACTCCACGGCAGATACGGTGCTGAAGGAGAATTTCTTCATTCAATCAGCAGCGGCATTTATCACGAACGAAGATGTGGACCTGTGTGAGAGTTCTGTGGATGGTCTGGCGGAATTTTCCATGATTGGGCCCAACTTCATGGCGGCTTGTAGAAAGACAGAGTTTGATTTGCTAGCCAAATGCGACCAACGTATTAACCAAATCGACGCGCTAGAGGGTGAGGACAAGGAGTTTGCACAGGAGACGAGGGCTCGTGTGGAGCATTTGAAAAAGGTTTTGACCGGTTAAGTAGAAGATAGTCGATCATAGATCGATCTCTTTTTAATACGCTTGACCGCATGGTATGAAACTACGATGCGTAAATATATCTCTATTGGCCGGGAGACATCAGATCAAAGTCACTTGCTCGAATGCTTAAAGTAAGTGCGCTTCAGTTTTTGCGCGACGTAGATGAGTGATTTTACGCCTCCCGCAGTGGCGATGCCCTTGATACTTTGCGAGCGACTTGACCGAAACACGATCGACGCGATCACGCGCTGCAGCTGCTTTTTTGTGACAGTCTGATGGTCAAGCGTTCCAGTCATGCGCGATTTTGTGGCAAGACGTCGAAGCACGTTAGACGGCAAAGCATCCACAATGGTTTGCCTCACCTTTTGGTTGTCACTATTGGCGACTAGCATGTCACCGTTAGAGATCAAGCGCGACATGAATGGCGAATTCTGTCAGAGTAGCAAGTAAAGCTTGTCAGATTGCCCCACATCGAATGAGCGACACCATTATAAGTAGCTTTCTTACCTGAATTTGATGTTGGTAGAGCTCCCTGAAGGCTTTGAAATTGCCGTCTACAATATTACGCACTTTTCTCGGGTTTTCACCAAACGTCATCCGAAAGTCGCCGAGGTATGAAATCCCTGCAATCTTCTACTCATGAACAAAATGGAGATACTCAAATCATCACGTGCATTAATCAATCAACTGACAGCAACATTAGCTCACCATGAACAGATCATGCTCTGAAAACTTCGGCGGTAGACAAAGTAGTGCATAATTAAGAGCATGCGACAAATTCATTGAGGTCGCTGTCTGAATATCGTCACTCATGGTAAGAATGCTGACCTAAATCAACCCACAAAAATTGAGTGTTTTTCTTGCCCAGAAGTCACCCACAACCAATAAACACGTACAGGTTTATGCATTCTACCACTGAGATAAAGTGTTTTCCAGGTTGTCAGGTCCTCACATAGAGTTTGTGTGCTTACGACACCATATTTAATGAGTCGTGTTCCGAGTCGTTCACCCTTAAGAGGAACCTGCCGTCTCAATCTCATTTTTCAGTCAGTCATGTAAAAAACTATAATAGAAATCGTAGAAATGTGTTTTTTACCAGTGTATTATAATAAACACCCGCCCCAAAAGTCTCTTGAAAGGCGGCAACATTGGCAGCCCCAAAATACTTGAGGATTGAATAATGTTGAGGATTGCGTTCAATGTTTTCTTCATGCCATGAGATTGGATCGTCCACAGCAAATACGAGATCCAACATACTCGTGCTTGAGTCGTGATTCTTTTGTTGAAATACACCTGATCCATAGGCCATTGTAAAGGACACGCGAGGGAATGACGCATTCAGCGCCTGGGTAAGTGCCGTTGCCAAATTTGACATGCTTGCTACGTAACAAATTGATATTATAGTGACCAATTTCTAACTACAGACCTTCCTCCAATAAGTTATCTTTAGATAAGTTATAAGCTTCGGTAGGTTATCAAAATTTGCGTCTACTAAGCTCGTTCTATGGTTGCTAAGTTATAACTTTGGGAGCCGCTAAGGCCACCGACGTTAATGCTACGTCCACAGACAAAACTACTAGGGCCGGAGACAACCGATCTAGCCAATCAAAGTTTATGAAAACTAATTGATTTCAATATAATAATGATTACCATTGGTCGATATTAGAATCTCGCTGGTGTAATGTTTCACTGGTGTAACGAGGTGACACGACGGTTGTAAGTGTTTAACACCGATAGTGTAAGTTGTAGAGTTAGCAGTCAAAGGAACTCTGATAAAAGGAATCTGTCATTTTTTGTTATACACGCACTTACCCGCTCCTCACTCCTTATCGCTCCTGTCCACTTAATCTACACTTGGCCCAAATCCATTTGCACATAGTATAGTGAATACAAATGCTAAGTCAGCGGCCGTCATTCCCATTAATCCGCGCCTTTCACGCGCAGTCGTACCTAAGGCGGTGTTCAATTCGAACACTCTCCCTCAGCCATGACTTCGACACCTCACTGACTATTCCCAAGACGCAATAGCTTGCACATCTCAGCGAGCTTAGCAGCATCAAGTGCCTTCGTCAAGATGTCAGAAAGCTGAAACTCGGAGCGCACGAACTGCGCAGCAACTACACCACGCCGGGCAATGTCGCAGACGAACTTTACGCACATCGATGTGCTTCGCCTTAATCGAAGGCGCCGCTCTTACTTTCTTCCTCTTCACCGAAGTCGAATGGTACGACTTCGGTTACTTTCGCGTCGACCATAACGACGTCGCGTGATGAGCAAGAGCCAGATTGGTTCTCGCTCGAGCGAATCCCTCCCCCCCTTAAGTTAGAGTCACCCTCTACTAAGGTGGGGACACGTGGATGGCGAAGGCCATTCACGTAGAACGGTGTATGCGTCGTGGAGGCATGCACGGAGTTGTTGATGGCGAATTCGACCATCGACAAGAACTCACTCCAACTCGTAAACGAGTGGACGTACCCTCGAAGGATCTCTTCGAGGACGCGATTGGCGCGTTCAGTCTGACCATCAGTTTCTGGATGGTCAGGAGTAGACATTGTGAGCCGTGTTCCAAGTGTTTGGAGCACGGAACGCCAAAACTCAGCTGTGAACCGGGGGTCCCTATCGGACACAAGTTCACGGGGTAAACCGTGCAATCAAAAGATTTTATCGATGAACACTCGAGCACAGCCCTCTGCTGTGATCGACTCAGGTACAGCAACAAGATGTACCATCTTGCTGAACCTGTCTACAAACACGAGAATACCATTATTCCCGTGAGCGTCTTTGGGAAACCCAAAGACGAAGTCCATTGATACGGACTCCCAGCACTCTGCCGGAACAGGTAGAGGCTGCAATGGTGCACGGAGTGAAGGACTAGGCTTCACTCGTTGACACACCTCGCAAGCACGCACGTACTTGCGCACAAACTTATACTGGCATGGCCAGTAAAAGTCGCGACTGACCGTGAGGTAAGTCTTCTCACGGCCGCGATGCCCACTTATTGGTGCATCGTGACATTCAAACATGATCCGTAACCTGTAGATCATGTTGTGGCGGTACATCGACACGAGGCGTGTCGTTGTTGACGGCTGTGTAGTACAGTAAGCCGTCCCGCTGGGTGTATCGATCGAGAGAAGATTGATACATGGCAGGCAAGCGCTTCTTAGCTTGCGTGGATGGGTCCTTGAGATACTCCATCAGGCGTACAAGATAATTATCTTGTGCGCATGCCCTTCTAATGTCGTCGAGTAAGCTCGACGACAAGACGCTGGTACTCAGCGTGGCGACAGTGGTGTTTACATCACTGTCGGATTGCACAGTCGGCTCTAGGTCAGGCCGACGTGAAAGAGCATCGGCGACGACGTTAAGTCGTCCCAGTTTATACTCCACGGAGAAGTTGTACTCCGCGAAGAACGACAACCATCTCGCCATTCGTTGCGAGAGGTGTGGACTATTTACAGCCGTGCGTAGTGACGCATGGTCTGTATATACAATGAACGGTCTATCTCCTAAGAGATAGACGCGAAACTTAGCCAGTGCATACTTCATGGCAAGGAGTTCCTTGTCATGCACCGGGTAATTGCGCTCGGCCGGTTACAGATGACGCTATTGATAAAAGACGACACGCTCTGCGCCGTATGTATCATATTGCATCAGTACGCAGCCGATTGCAAAATCACTGGCGTCACAGACCACATGAAATGGTCTGTCTTGATCGGCAATCGCAAATACTGGCGATTGCATCAAGCTTTGCTTGATACGTTCAAAGGAGCGCTGACAATCAGCGTTCCAGTTCCACTTTACATTTTTCTTGAGTAAACAAGAAAGATGTACTGTCATTTCGGCGTAATTGCGCGAGTACTTGTGCAAGTACGCCGCTAGCCCAAGGAACTTCCTTAGTCCCTTGACATCGACTGGCACTGGCCAGTCGGTGATCGCCTTGATCTTCTCTGGATCAGGGCGTACGCCGTTCTTTCCGACGATGCACCCAAGAAGTGATATTTCACTAGCTTCGAATATACACTTCTTGAGGTTGGCGTACAACTTATGCTCGCGCATAAGTGTAAGAACCTTACGGACGTGGAGTCTATGGACTTCCACGTCTGTTTTCCCGTCCATAGCCCGACTATGGACGAACACATCATCGAAGTAACTCGGTGCGAATTCGCGCACCGGTCTCAATAGATGTGAAACACATCTATTGAATGTGGCTGGTGCATTACTGAGCCCTTGCGGCATCACCAACCATTCCCAGAGCATACCACTGGGAGTGCTCACTGCTGTGTACGGGATGTACCGTTCACGCATTAGGATCTGATAGAAACCATCCATCAGATCCATGGACGAAAAGATGGTACTCTTAGACATACCATCTATGATTACGTCCTTTCTCGGTATCGGCGTTTGTGCCGGTATCGTTGCAGCGTTCAACTTATTGAACGCGTGCACTATCCGCCACCCTCCTGTGGCCTTGCGCACACAGAAGGTCGGAGAGCTGTGAGGTGAAGTTGACTCCCTCACATGGCCCGCTGCTAGGCGATCGGCAAAGAACTTGTCGATCGCCTCGACCTGTTCCCGAGGCAGTGGCCACTGCTTCATGACACAATATTTTGTGCCAGGAACAAGGTCGATCTCGTGTCGAGTACCTTTATCCTTAGGCAACTCGCACGGAACGGATTCAGGGAATACATCCTTGAATTCGACCAAATCCTTGTACAAAGAATTTGACTTCAGCGACTCCCAGGATTGCGATGTATATCGTTCAATCCGAGTCTTCTCATCAAGGACACTTTCGTCCATTGATGAGCTGCTGAGAACCCGTTCGTTCTCGGCAAAAACTGTTGCTGACCGAATGTCAGTCATGTACTCGTCTTCTGCGACGAGCACACATATCTGCTTGACTTTGCCACTACGCAGATCACGCAAGAACCGTTTAGGTTCTAGCGTAGGCAACTGAGTTATCTCCGAAGTTAACTTCGGAGGTGCGATCAGATCAAGCGTATAAGCGCCTACGTTTGATCCGTCATTAACCAAGACGTTCAACGTCTCGGTTACTTCCTGGGGACTTATTCCCTCAGTGATTGTTTCCTGGGGACTTATTCCCGCAGGCTCGATGAAACTTGTTCCATCGACTTCCTCTAGCTGTGTTGGCGCAACCACAGCGAGATCCTCTACGATCAACTCTCCAGTTGATCTAGGATTACCGTGTTGCCGCTTCTGGGCAACCGGTTTACTCTTCGGTGAATGCTGCCCTCTAGGAGAGCATTCATGTCCCGGTCCACTCGACTTATTCGAGTGGTGGACCTTCGGCGCTGCCTGTGCTTGTGCACAGCCGCCGGCAGCTTTCTCCACAGCGCGACTGTCTGTCACGCTGAGTTCTTGTGCAGTCGTACTAACGACCGAACCACAAGTGAGGCCATCACACTCACTCGTAGTACATTCACACGCTTGTGAACGCTCCAAGACGTTCATCAGATGGCCATCTGATGAACAAGCGGCAGGCATCTTCACGGTTCGATGCTGCCAGCTGACCCATGGCTCGTACCTTCTGAGCCATGGTAATCCTAGGATGACATCAAATTTGCCATCCAGATCAAGTACGATGAAATCATCATCGTACTTTTTGCCTTCAAGCGTGTAGTGAATTCCCACTACACGTTTCTTTACTGTTACGGATGCGCCAGTCGCAAGGCGCACCGTCATCCTCGTTGGAGGGGTCTCGCGCTCAACATATTTGAGCCTACGATCATCTAGCGATTGGCGTCGAACAAAGTTGTTCGAAGCCCCAAAATCAACTAGGGGGCGAAGTGAGATGTTCTTTGTCACTTCGATCTTCAAGATGATGAGGGATATTTCATCACTGGGAGCGGCAACACACAGTGACTGTGTGTTGGGAGCAACCTTCGTCAAGAGTCCCGCGAACTCTCTTGACGTTGCTGGATCAGTAGGGCGCTCCGCTCCTACTGACCCCGACCGTTTTTTGATAGTCCACCACGTTGTTGCGATTTTGCAGCAGCGTGGGACCCACGTCTCTGGCCCTTCTTGGCAGACGGTCGATCGTCACTCCCAGTATTACGAGACACTGGGCGTGGGGCACTACACTCATAAGCGTAGTGGCCCAACTTCTGACAGCGATTGCATTTTTGCAATCGCTTGTACCCTGGAGAGCGAGGTCGCTCGCTCTCTACATAGGAGAGGTCCATTGGTTCTGGACCTCCGCCCTCCTGTCGTCTCGGTGGACGATAGGATCCCGAGTGGACGTGAGCCTGTTGTAGGCTAAAGTCCTCCTGTTCCGCTGCAGAGATCGCTTGATCCAGCGATTCTAGTTCCAAGCGGAACAGGTGGGTCTTGACAGGACCATCTGTCAGACCCTTGATGAACACAGTAACCTGCGTGTGTTCATCGATTGGATTCAGTACGATACAGCTAACGAGGTATCGTACGTGTTGGGCGTAAGCGTGTATATCACGCTTACCCTGTTTCAAATCCAGGAGCTCAGCCCGAGCCCAGAATTCTGCGCGAGGCGGTTCAAACGTGTGTTTGAGCCGCGCCTTGAAGACACCATACGTTGGGAAAACTATGGGTCGTGCAGTTTGAGCCCTAAGGCCCAAGCTTTGGCACGTCCTGCCAATCTCGATATGGCAAACTTGACCTTCATCGCATCGTCATCGATGCGACGAGAATCAATGGCATCGTCGAGCTCGAGGTCGACGTGTATACGTCGACCCGGCAGCAGCAGCACTAGCCTGCTGTTGTCTCAACAGTTCAGACTGTTGAGCACCCTGCTGCATCAACAATTCATCTTGTTGAGCGCCTTGTTCTCTCAACAGTTCAACCTGTTGAGAACCTTGCTCCTCTAGCAAGGTGAGTTTCCTTACAACTTCGTCAAGTTCATGTTGTATGAACTTGGCGATGGTTGCATGTTGGTCGTCTCCACTAAGAGAGAGCAACATGGCACCAACGGCAGGATTGCCGATGGTTTCAGCCATACGCTGAACTGCATTCCATTCGAGGTCACTCAAATGGCGGAAATCATCACGCAACGCGTGATGACGTTCATCACGCGCTGATTCCATAGCGGATGGTGCGGTGGTCGCTGAACGGACCACGAAGTGCTACCAGGTGTAATGGGGCACCCTCCGACTATACTGATTACAGTATAGTCTACTTTCACTGATTACAGTGAAAGCAGGTGCCTCGGAACCTCACGTACACGTGAGCAGAGGAAGCTTTACTTCTAAACGATACGCTTAGTTGAGAGGGAAAAGAAAACTGTATTAAATATAGTTAATTATCTAATAAAACTAATCTGTTATAACCTATGTTAACTATATTAAACTACAACTATGTATGTTGACAACTTGCCCTCCACTCATTGCGCGCGTCCATCGGTCATTGGTCAGCGCGTTGGTTGATATGATGGCCCATATCAACCAATGAGAGGGCATCTCCAACTTCAAGGAGATCTAGGAACAATATTATTAGAAAAGGTAATATTGTCAAAATATTATTAGTTATAATAATATTTTTATTGACACTTCATATAAGTGTCAATATTATGTAACGGGCTCACCCCGTTACAGTAGGCCTTCATGGATGCCAATGTCGACGACTCAACTTGTGCTTTCGCACGAGACACACCTTCCTAGTGGACAATGATGCCGCTATAAGCTGTTGGAGTCCGTAGGGAGCATGCCAAGCGTTTAGCATGTGAAGGTGCGAATAAAATTTGTATGCAAGTATGCACGGAAGGGAGTTATGCAACCAGATTCCGTTGAATTGCGCCTCATGAAAGAGGATATTCTCACGATATTGCTGCCATCCCAAATATAAAGAGTTGCTCAAACTGCTCAATTTTATTAAGAAGTGACTAACATGGCAAACGGACGAGCGTGCGACGACTTAGGAGGAGTATTAAAAGAAGTTGGTGAAACTGACAATTTTGGCCGACTACTCTCGTTGGACAAGGGTTAGATTATCTCAGGATGTACTCTGGACACATTGGCGTGATTAGCTGCGTAAGCAAGTAGAAGTTGCTAGGAAGAATGTAAAATCAATGGCAATTCCTAGACGTATTAACATCTAACAGGATTTTCTTTCTTCTTATAGACCTTCGTTTTCTCTTCACGTCTTATTCCTTAGATGATGAGAGTAACTTTCTACAAAAAGAAAATGTTGAAACTTACCACGTCGAGCACAAATTTTAAACCAATAAAAAAGCTACATATTACGTATCAGATACTGTACGGCAATAAATGTATAAAATTATCTGAAATAAATTGAGATGGTTCAAATGGTCAGTAAATAATGGGAGGCGTTAATTTATTACCTAACTTTTTGCTTATTACTCACCTTTTTGCTACAGTAGCCATCACCCACCCCAAATATATGAAAGTCTAATTGATCAGAATGTTTAGCACCCCCTTTGAAAGTAGGACGTCGGTATCAATAAGAACTCACATTTAAAAACCACAGTGAACAGTCTCGCTCGACCTCTGCAGCTTGTCTATGCCTTCCTGGAACAAGAAAGTGCGAAAATGGGCTGCTAGGTGTCAATGGAATGTTTAAATGTATAAAGTACATGTCAAAGGCAGAATCAATATAGTAATAATTGTTTTCTTGTTATGAGTTTACGACTCAAACAATAAAGTTGCTTTGTGTACGGCCTTGTCAGATTTGGCAACAGAAAGGGCCACAAAGGGCCACAATGCCCGATCCTGTCGTCGTTAAGCACCAGCATTATCACCGGCAGCAGCATCAGCAGCCCTAACAGCACCAGCAGTAGATTTAGAAGCACTAGATTATGAAGTCTAAAATCATACAAATCGTAACGTTTTTAGTTTCTTTCGTAATTTTAGGGGGCCTAAAGCGAGAGTTAAAAGAGTGATGGTCATTTCATTATTGAACCGGTTCAGACTTGCCGGACCGTCTCTCATGTGCAACATCTTTGAATGTTGCTCGAATGAAAGCATAAAAAAGTGTGCGGCTCCGCTGACGCTCTAAGTAGGCGACGATGGTGAAGCCCGTGGTGAACCCGAACATGAATAAGACCCTGCGTGAAGTAGTGGGGCGATACGTGGGTGCTGCCCCGCAGCTTTCGCACAAGCAGAAGGTGCAGAGAATCTACAAGAAATCGCTCAAGACGCTGGACTCGTGGATCATCGACCGCCGTCTCTGGAACGAAGAGGCCACTAAGATCCGCGCCGAGTTCGATGACAACCGCGAGCTGGACCCCGAGTCAGGGTGGGTACATCTTTTGTAATCCTCCTTTATCTCAGTATACTGAATAGGTGCTACTCTGTGTTACTTTATTGTTACTTCAGACTGGCCACGAGACTGCTTCGTGAGGCGCAGGAGAAGGTTGACCACTATACGCACCCGGACCGCTATATATTCAACTATATGCCTGGTGGTAGTCTCTATATGCGCAATGCACCCATCCCTCTGGACGTGTGCTTCCCAGATGGGGAGATTCCGGACGATGTGGAGCTATCGCCACTCGAGGGTATCAATGTCGACATGACGCCTTTACCTGCCAAGGAGACGGTGTTTGTAGATTTTTCCAAGAAAGGCTACGACTAGATGCAGGTTGTAACATGAGGAAAGGGAGTAGGGTGCTTTTTACCAGAGCTGACAGAATGTTATTGACGCAATTCCAACGGAAGATTCGGGTAAAATGGTGTGTTTTGACTGAGCTTTATTGATGGGTAGGAGAACGACTTAGGTTCAAGAGTTGTAGAGCTGCGTTGACTGGGTCACAGCAGTCTGTAGACCACAGTTGCGATAGCGATAGCTTGTGGTGTTTACAGGCAGTGGTAGCTTTGTTCTACGGTGATCCGCTTGATGTCGATACTTTGATTATATGATGTCCTCTGAGCGGTTGAGATTAAATGATTTGACCTCTTCTCAGCAAGTCACGACGGCAAAAATCAAATGTGATCGTCACAACTTTGTGTAGATTGAGCTTGTCTGTCCTGTAGGCAAATTTTAAGCGTTCGTACGCAAGAAACCCTTCACCCAGAGCATGCGTCTGATATATCAATGCGTTTGTAGAACGCACTTGTTCCATTCCGACCTGAGCTGCTGGTAGCTGTGGTGCATGTCGATGTGCGATTTTTAGGTCCCAAATGTCATCTTTAAGCCGACATGATACTCGATTCTACTCAATTAAGAGACAACCATTCGTCATGATTTGGTTAATTACGAATCGACTTTGGCAATGGGAATGCTGGAGCTATGGCAATTCACATGGCTACTAGCTACAGCTTGTGCATTAGTGTCGTTCCAGAGTAATTTCTGTCGTGGGTTCGTTCTACAGGGCAAAATGCGCACTTCCGCACAACTTCCTGGGCTTTGGCTGCTGCATCTAGAAGTGCCTAAGAGCTACTGGACGTGGTTTTACCTCATTGGAGCACTGCACAGCATTTTGATGCTGTTGGTTGCACTGTTTTGGCAGAAGATGCAAGTAGTTCAAGATGTTTTGCACTTTGCACATCCTTTAGAAGAGATTGATGTTGTTATGATCCAGCCACACATCATCAGGTTCTTGACTCTGTTTGCAGTGCATACTACTCGACGCTTCTTGGAGTCACTACTGGTCACTGAATTTGGAGACGCCAAGATGCACGCTTGTAGTAGGTTGCAATATATCTTGCTGTTGATCAGTGGATAACTCTAAACTGATGATGGCTTCGTTGTTGCGGTGTTTAGTACTGTTCGTAGGCACGTATCACTACGTTGTCACAGTGGTGTCTGTCTTATTCGACCCGGACTCAATTAGAATGCATAAAGAGACCACGCTGCGTCATGTGATGCTTGGATGGGGCATCGTGCTTTTCGCCTTTGCGTCTTATCACCAAATGCGCTGCAACTACCTTCTTGCCAAGCGAAAGCGTGCTAACTATATGAAGCACGTGGTCCCCCATGGCGATTGGTTCGACACTGTGCGCAACCCACTCTACACGACTGAAATTATGCTGTACGCAAGCTTCATCCTAGTGACGGGGGGCAAAACCGCCATGCTTTACTTCGTGTCTGCCTGGGTAGTTGCAAACCAGGTTCTCCTCGCTAACATGAGTTCTCAATGGATCGAGAACAAGTTTCGTGATCGACGGAATGAACTGCCCAAATGGAAACTCGTGCCGTTTGTTTGGTAAAGACAACGTAAAAAATCTATTCAAAAAGAGATTTCGTCTCGCCTCACAATGTGTGCGTCTCCTTCATTTGTCAGCCTTGTGCTTCTTCTCACAAGGTGCTTCCGACTCTTTTGCCTCTTCGTTGTCACTGTGACTCTCGCCACTCGAGTCACTTGCAGAAGATTCCTCTCGCTGTCTCTTTTTCTCTTTCCCACTCTCTTCTGCATCTTCCTCCTCTTCCTTCGTCGCCCAGACCAGCTTTTCCGTATCCTTCTTGCTCTCCCTTGCGATCTGAATTCGGGCCAAATACTGTCCGTACTTGTTACCAAAGATGTTATGATACCCACCAGGTCCAGAAGCACAGCCTCTGCAGCCACTGTGCTTTTCCTGCACCATCTGTCCTTCCGATAGCTGTTGTCTTGGGACACGGCAGATACTGACCGTTCCGTAGTTATAATTCTTTGTATTGATAGCGGACGTACTACACAGTCGCTCATAGCCCGGTTTCTTCCACTTGGCAATCAAATTTGCGTCCACTAGTTTACGACGTATACAGTAATCGTATACCTCCCGAGATATCTTCTGGTACTTGTAGAACATGTCGTACACGTAGCGACTGCGCTGCCAATTAATCTGGTGCACAGGCCACAATGCCTCACATTGTCGCTTTCCCTCATGTGGCTCGTTCATCTTTTCCCGAAGCTCACTTTCCAGTGCGTCCATTACTGGCTGAATGTACTCGAAGCCCGCAGGCGCACGGTTTTTCTTGCTCCATTTAGACATTCCTTGATTAAGTTTTAAATCAATAAAATAGTTTACGAAATAAATACAGTAGGAAAGCGTTATCGACGTTAACTACCCCCCCCCCCCCCCCTCCAAGAGGCATGTACGGAAAATAAAAAAAGGAGAAAACAAAAAAAATTGTATTACAGGATTGAAAAAACACATATGTATACTAAGACGTATAGTATACGTATGGCATGACAGAAATTGTAATATTCCTGCTTTTTATAATATTTTGCTGCTTCAGAGCTTTCAAACTGAGACACATAGATGCGAACAACTTCTTTCTTACCTGGCCGCACACTCTTGGATGGCCTGGTGGTATCCGCTTGACTAGAAGACGAGGCGAGCCATGTGTGTAGGTCTTCTTAAACAAAACCGCCATACTAGATATTGAATATGGTTTCTCGTCAAGATGTCTTCCAATTCAGATTTTGTCAGAGAATTCTCCTCACCACTGGTCGGAGTCCATAAACGAATGACATCTTGAGTACCACTTGTCGCCACACACGCATCAAAAGGATGGGGCTGAGCACGATATACAATGTCCGCGTTTGCTTTTAACAGCATTCACCAGCTCCCCAGTTGCCTTGTCCCACACGAACGCACGCCCATCATCACTCCATGCGATAATGTACGCGTCGTTCTTTCCCGAAACAAGGTCTCTTTTGATGTCCATTTGCCCATTACAATACCCAATGTAATGACGGATGATGTCACAATTTACCGGCGCGCTGTTTACCAAGTTGCTCATTTCAAAGCTGTCGTCTTTATCAGGTAACCCGTCTTCTATGTCATTACTGGGACTGCCATGGGAAAATCTTCCTCGCTGTCGCTAGATATGTCTTTATTTGTTGATCTTCCCGGGCGGAGCCCATGCGCCGTAGTGAAGGATAACCGTCTGTTACCGACGCACTACCATTCAAGAATGGAAAGACGTCCGCCTCGATGATGTGGATACTTTTCCTTGTATCGTCGGGACTGTCATCTTGCTTGTAGACGTCGTCTTCCTCCACTCAGTGCCTTGATATACGTTAATACAACCTCTCGATCATTCGGGTCAAGTTTTAGCGCCTTTATGCATTGCATAGCAGCCAAATAAGTATCTGCGTTTCACCGTCTTCCTAAATGCGCTCCATTGAGCCACGCTAGTGGCTGGGGCGGCGTACAAGATGCAATTAGATTGGTTGAAATACAAAAGGAGGTGCGTACTTAACAGTCAACTTCAACGACGTACTCAAATTGTTGATGATCATTGGTCATTTTACGCTCACTTGGTGACAAAAAACGAGCTTGTTAATATTGTCCATCAATGTATTTGTGCCCCTTTAAGTAGCTCCATAATGTTGCGCTCGAATCGTGGCAATCGCTTTCTCTGGCTGTTACTTTTACTGAAATTGCTTGCTGTCATGTCTCTAGTTGCTTACCTCTTCTTGAACGTGAAGATTATTGCATATCTCCCAAGCACCAGGACGCCCTCTCTGCGTGAAAGTGATCCTCCAGGTAATATCGATGCGGTCGCTCATATTCAAGCGGTTAGAGCTAGCGAAAAAGCCTGGTGGCTGCGACCAGAGACATACCGAAGAAAGGTATGACCCAAATTTATAAATGAGACATGATTATTATATCGTATTGATAGGCTTATATGCAATAGCATGGCTGCGATTTCTCGGCGGTGGTGGCACAATTTAAGCCCGAAGAACTGGAGCTTAATTGTGTCAATATGGACCAATTAGAAAAGGGTGAGTTTTTGGGCAAAGGATTTTGGAGAGAAGTATGCAAGACCAAGTGGAAGGGTAACGTACCTATTTTTGACAGGAAAGAAATTTGCTTTGGTTACAAGTAAATTTGACGTGCTGCTGTTTTTATGTTGTAGGACGGGAGGTAGCAGTGAAATATGTCAAGAAGATTCACATGAATTGAACGGACATTATTACTCGTCATGTGGAAGAATGCGCGTCTATTTTTCCAATACGCAACCAACCAAATATCGTAAAATTGGTGGGCTGGTGCAAAACAACAGTGGTGGTGGAGTACATCCCCCACCAGCTTGACAAGCTGGTGTTTGAGTCGGAGGAGCCAATATCGGTTCGCCGTGCTTTGGGGTTGGGGGGGGGTTGTGCGGGGGGTTTTGCACCGCTGCACAATGCTCCAGGAGGACCCTTGGCGCACACTGATCTGCAAGTCCCAGTTTCTGCTCGATGCCGACGGCACGTTGAAGCTAAACGACTTTAATCGTGTAGAGTACGCGGGACTGCGCTTTGTGGACGGTGTACCAAGTGGTGCAAAGTGTATGTTCAAATTTGAAGTCGTCAAGGGAAAGTGGCGGTCCCCGGAAGAGTACCAGCATTTGCGTTTGGATGAAAAGCTGGATATCTATAGCTTGTCACTGGTATTATGGACGTTGCGAGCACGGGTCAAGCCGTTTCAAATGTACTCGAAAAGTAAGGTATACGCGATGGTGCCAAAAGGTGTTCGGCCGTCAGTGAAGAAAATGAGCGACTATCCTCAACAAATGCAAGACCTAATCGTCAGAGGCTGGGACAATGATCCTAAGAAACGACCGACCGCTACGGAAATGGTTGACGAGATTAAATGTATTTTGGCGAGCTATAGAGATAGGCGATAGGAACGTCGTATCCTCTTGTTGCAAAGCTTAGAAGACATAAACACTTTAGAGTATAATATTGGATTTCGCCAGCTTTCACATAGAATTCATGTACCGACCATCGTTGCAATGCTTCAGCTTTCCTTATATATCATTTCTACAATACTGCTCGCGTGCACTTGCTCATAGATAGAAAACATGTACTCTCGTCAGTAAAAATACTCGAGAATACGATCAAAGGGAAGCAAAAGCATTTTTTGTACGAAGTCACGCAGTGGCTCAAATGTAGTAGTGCTGTTTCTAGTCAATGGACAGCTGCCGTTTCTGGCGGAGAGAGGTCCCTCTTTACAGTCGCTGAGTCACCTCTGTCCATGTTCTTGGCCTGACAGCAATTGGTCAACTTGAGCACATTCACAACCAACAAACACTACGGACAGTCGACTCGAGCATAGCCATCAAAAACGCACTTGCGGTGCAATGCGTTGCTTGCATGAAAGCACAAATGATGAGTTGTCCATATCAGTGCAATCCAATTCAAGCTGCTTGTGTTGTATCAACATCGCAGACAGATCGTGCCCTGGGCCGTGTCTGGCACTAGTGCGTTCGAGTAAAAACTATACGTGAGACGGGTCTCGTTCCTTTGTTCAACATCTAGATAATATCGATGAAGACCTACAGGCCTAAGCGCCTATCGGATGTATTTTTCATGCTCAGGAATTTGAATGAGTTTGCTGAAGATACTGGCGCGCACGATAGCACTGCATCGCGCTGAAAGGTGCATTAATCAGTACGTTCTTGTAACGGAATGAGTTCGATTACATATTATTGGCACTAATAATAAGAGCCAATAACAATATTTTTGTAGCTAATAGTTTTTGACAATATTGCCTTTTCCTATAATTTGTCCCTGCGTCTCCTCAAAGTTGGAAATACCCTCTGACTGGTTGATATAGGCCATTATATCAACCAAGGTGCTCAACCAGTTAAGCGGCTCGGCACTTCTGCTGGAAAAAAATCACACTGGTGTTTCCACAGAACATCATAGAGTGGGGTTGTCAGTCAAGGCTTCCCAGCCGTGAGGAGTCAAACCGTTTCTTCTTGTAGGTTTTGAAGACGCTCTCGTCTACTGTGGACGACGAGCAACAGTCCACCACGTTCTCTTCTCGAACTGGTGCGACTATCTCGTGGATCTTTCCTTCCTTTGATTCGGACAGGAACATACCCCACGTCATCTCCGAGAGATTTACTATCTCCTCGGCATATGCCAAGACAAGTTGAAGCACCTCAACTGAGGATGCCTCCGGCATCTTGTCTTCGACGGCCTCGACCAACTCGTTCGTAGGTCCGTCTTCTTGGATCGAGACTGATCCAAGGGTCACACATTTCGACGTGCTCTTGATCGTCGCAGTACATCTGGTGCTCTTTCTTCGAGTCACCACCACCTTTGACCTGAAACAGGTGTCGTTGCTATCTCAGCCAACGCACTCGTCCCAACCGCACCAGGCTCATAGCTCTGTGCCGAATCTTGTGGCGCTCGACTTCCTGTCAGCCCACCATCAACTGCCACAGGTTCTCGGCTCTGTGCAGGACCGTTGGACGCATGACTACTTGTCATCGTCCCATTCACTACACCAGTCTCCTCAAACTGGGTAGGAATTTGTGTCACCTGACTTCCTGTTAGGGCACTTCCAATTACTCCAGGCTTAACTGAGCTGGGTGGTACTCGGTGACGGTAGACATACCGTCGACGCAATTAACACTGTGCTTGACACAGCATCAATCGCATAAGTCTCTCGCAGGAGCACATCCTTTCCGGGTACTGCGTAGATTTGGCGACTGTGCGTGTACGCCAGTCAATCCATGGTTGGTGTTTAGTCAACCAAGGCATGCCTAGGATGAGGTCATACGGACTCTCCATACCTAACACTGTGAAATTCTCTTTACAAGAGAAGTCACTAACGATGGTGGCAAGCTCACTCAAACCCCCTCCGATTTAACGAGCGCGCCGTTCGCTAAACGAACGATCGCCACTTTTTTCTTTCCATCCTGGCAAAGCGACTCATAACTCACCGGACACTTTTCAGAGCCTCGAGTGTTACAAATTTTTGCTGCACCCGTCAACAAGAAGGGTCATTAATTTCCATCAAAATTTGGAGTGTCCATCCTAATGGGCCTTTGCTGATTAGACCGGGCAGAGAGTGTCTCAATAGTTCTGTTGAGCGCCTCATTCCGAGCTTGCTCACGCAAAAGCTCATCCTGAGTCTTATTGATGGACTCAGCTGTTGCTTGGCTGTTTCTCTTGGACGCATTTCTACGCTGTCTGCGCACAAATGCCTCGAATTGCTTCAGCTGAGTAACATGTTGATCAGGAGGACAATTTAAGAGGTTGGACACCAAGTCCCTGCGCCAAATGCTCAGCCAACTCCCTACGATGTTGGAAGAGGTAAGAAAATCACCTGATCCACGTTGAGGGATATCCGTATCCACACGCACGCTCAGAGAGACGGGTCGTGTGAAGGACTACTATCGCTACCAAATGTAGACGGGCGCTTCGTAAAGAAGCTTCCACGCACTACGCGAACACACGTTCAAGCAGCGCGAGGAAGCGGTTAGACCGTCTTACCTCCGCGTGCAGTGGTGGTGGTGTTTGACGGCCGCTTAAAGCGTTGAACCAACTGTTGCTGGCCGATTAAAGAGATCCGCGCAACGAACAACTAAGAAGTGCCTCACTTGCGTCACGCAGAAGCTTATTCAGCTTTTCGTGCGCAGTGGACGGTAATTAGTAAATTCAAAACTGACTTGTATCTAATAAAAATTAACTAAATATAAACTTAACTACTGATTGGTTACATATAAAATCGAATACGCGTCTTTTCAGAAGCGTATCCTTACGTGCGAGCCCAAAATATATTTAAGCTCGCTGATGACGTCCGTCGATGATGTCACCAAGACACCTAGATCCAGCTGGGCGTCATCCTCATCAATGGGAATACACCTAGTGCATATCACTTACACAAAAGTGTGGACACATGTTGTGTCTCACCAAAGCGACAGGTATTTAGTACTTACGTACCTTTTTAGACCTGCCCGTTACGTATCGCATACTTACCGGAATCGTGTAACTATTTACCCTATACGCTTTCGGTCTTCTTCACGAGCGATCTGATTCCAGTAGCAATATTATAAACTCTCTCTTCTCCATCGTCTTGTGTCGACCTGTAAGTCCTCAAGTGCTTAGTACCTCGACCAAGTTGAAGCGCATGAGCTGACTTGAAAATGACGTTAGGTGACTCGTCATAAGCACCAACAGCCACTAGATTGACAGCAATAATCGCACAAATTTTGATGAGTTGAGGACGCATGGTTCCAAAGGCAAAAAACGGAAATGCGGTGCTGGAGACAAGGCGAACTGACGTCAAGGAGATAATTCCCTTAAGAATGCAGGAGATTCTTTACATCTTAATTTGGTCTGTCTACTGTGGGATGGACATAGACGGTGATGAAAGGTAAAAACGAGACTACAAAACTGATCCCATGTTAAAAATACATTGAATAAGGGTACACAATTCGCTCGACTACAACACTTACATCAGCATTCACCTCCGTGAGGCAACTCGAGGTCGGCAGTAATGATCCAAACAACTCAACGCGATCCATAAAGAATACAGATGCGGAGTCGTCGGCAAAAATGTCGCTTTTGAAGCGCATATTTGGCCGAAAAAAACGAGATGACCATGTTTGTAGAAATCCTTTCCCAAGTGCTTGAATGCTTTGAGCGAGAAGGCCATATGGGACAGCCGAAACGAAAGGATTAATCCTTCGAGATGCTAAAGAAACCGTTTATTTGAACTACATGGCTCCTTCCGTTAAGTTATGGGTACGGTGGACGACAATCTCCATAACTTAACAGAAATTATAGCTTATCGGTTTTTGTGTATCGTACATAAGGGAAATCTATATCTTTATATATTCATATCTACATAATACTAAAAAATCATTACGAGAGTCAATATCTCATTTAGTTTATGGTGTCGTGCTTCTTTTTCAGCATTCGAATTGGCTAGTTTTGCATTTTTTGCATTTATTAAGATTGGCTACTTCTGAATTTTGCAATTGATTTGGTAGAATACGTACTAATAATGAATTTCGAGAAGCTTAAAAAATTTAAGGAAAGATATTAAAGATGAATAAAATATATTGGAAAGAAAAATACGCCAAAATACTTTTGCAACTACGTTTCAGCATCGTTTCCGTTGTTTACATGGTCGATTTACACGAAAGAGCGTGGCAGACACCGAACTGCTCCGCCAGAAGCAGACGCAGCGACAGACCTCTGCGTCCTCTTCTGGTCGAGCGGCTCGGTGTTCTGCCGCGTGTCCTCGCATGCGTTGGCTTTTATCGACGACGGCATATCGGTACTTTTAAAGGCATACTTTGCAATGCATAGACTGATGCGCAATGTGGTATATAGCGAAGCGCTCATTAAATTACTCCACTTAATATATACTTTGGCGTATCCCATAAAAAAAGGAAAACCCCCCAAATTACCCATATTTAAAAAAAAAAAAATCATCAGGGAAAATTTTGCACACCATGACCGTCGGAACGACAGTTGAAAATCCTATTCGATATAAATATAAGAGGATCGCCATACTTAATCAGTCTATTGTGTCGTGCTCCCTTTCCACACTGTTTGGCTGATTTTGCAGTATTGGCTGATTTGTGGATTGGCTTATTTTGCATTTTCGTCCATCTCTCCTTTCCCTACATTCCGATTGGCTTCTGTTTGCAACATAATTCCATTATGAATTGCTGATATTGCATTATTATGAGCAGCTTCTATCACTGATTTATCAATAGTAAAGGGTATCGAATTTAGCAATATATTCTGTTGAGCATCCAACTCTAGGGACGGGTATAGTATCATGACTAAAATTTGTATAGTATAACCCCGCTATGATGCCAAGCAGTATACTCTGTTATGTGTCGAATGCTCCGGCTACAATTAATTGTTTGGTGACGCAATCGAATCGACCCCATCGAAGCTATGCACAAACATGATTCGATGACATTTTTGTCCATTAGTCGTGCTGAACATGGGCGGTCTGATACCGAGAGCCATATTGTTCACTTACGAGCCGTGCTTGATTGTATGCGCACTGATTTACTTTATGCTAATGCATCTTAGTGAATCTTCGGTGCGGAAGAGATTCCCTTTGTGTAGGGTGCTTCGTTGGGAAGCGAGGCCTCAGAGCGGATCCCGCTAAGGTTATAGCCATATTCAGTGGCCCGTTCCACAGTCCCAGAAGAACTTGCGAAAGTGTCTTGGCCTTGCCAATTACTTGCATAAGTACAGCAAAAACTACGCTGATATGGATCGGCCATTATCCAATTTCCTAAAGAAGAATGTGGAATGGTGTTGGCATGCCGAACATGAGGACGCTTTCCAAGCTGTGAAGGCTAGCCTTCTTCATGCCCCTATTTGGGCTTTGCCAGATCCTGACCGACCGTTTAGCGTCGTATTTTGCCATTGGCAGTGCTCTATTACAAACAGATGATAAGGATGTGAGCGTGTGATCGCCTTTGAATCTCGTCAGATGAAAGCTGCAGAGAAGAACTATCCATCTCATGACAAAGAGCTACTCGAGATGAAGTATGCTCTAGTTATATTCAGAGTTCATATGCTTGGCTTGAAGTCTTTTTATACTCTATACAGAGCATGCGTCTTTGCGCACTGAACTCAATGGCAGTGCATAAATCTCTCGCAGAGAAAGGCCCAATGGCTTTTATTCTTTGCTGGATATAACCTTGGGGTGAAGTATAAGCCTGGCAAATAAAACGCTTTGGCTGATGCGTTGTCACGCAGACCTGAAAATGAGCTTGCTCATGTTAAGACGTTGTCATCTTCGATCATTGTTCTCATTCGATCGGCGTATGCTAAAGATGATCATTGTATAGCGTTACTACATGCTCTTGGCATAAAGACTCGGACATTAAATTGTCGGCACGATTACGTGAGAGCCTTCATCGATATTCTATCGATCTGGGGATGTTGTATGATTGTACAGATGTGGAGAATCCTTCGCGTATTGTGGTTCCTCATCATGAGAATTTACAATATCGTATCCTTTATAAGGCTCATGATGCCGCCAATGGTGGTCATTTGGGTCGTGAAAAGACCTATGGTTTAGTATGCCAAATATATTAGTGGCCCAAACTGTATAAATGGGTAAGCACATATGTGCGTACAAGTGAAACGTACCAACGGATTAAGCCCTCGCCCCATTCGGCGGCGCCTTTGGTTGGTTTACCTGTTCCCACTGAGTGCTGGGAGTTCATTAATATCGATTTTTTGTGTGGCCTACCGAAAGTTTCGTATGGCACACACAGGTATTGTGGTCTTTGTTGACCATTTGAGCAAGATGGCTCACTTAGCGACTGTGCCGAATTCGATCGATGGTGAAGGTACAGCGCAGCTGTTTATCGATCGTGGGTTTCACCAACTTGGCTTGCCTGTGGCAATTATTTCTGACCGTGACGCTACTTAAAATTTGCGACCGATCCCACGCAGATTGGTCGACAATTAGCAATACGCCATCGTGTTGCGACTTATACGAGCTCGACACGGGCGTATGCTGCACGACGTTGCTGGAGTACCCAACTCAAATGTGTCCGACCGTCCAAAACTCAACAGCTGACTATGCATTTGCAAGGCGTTCGATGAAAATGGCGCATTGGCATTTGCAAACGTTGTTAAAACGTTTGTGTGATTTTTCGTAAATGGTTAATTTAATTTTAGTACTGAATATCTATAATCTTGTCTTAAACAGTTTAAAAAACGCTTCTCGCTACAGTATCTTACAAGTATTTAGAACCTAATCATTCTTAACAGCTGGTCAGGTCAATGCCGATCGATTATGGTCTGATGACGCCAATTTGAAGACGTGCGACAATTCAATCATTGTAAAATTCCTTCGGCCATGAAAGCGCAGTCATTTCAGACGTCCATCAACGGTTACACTGTCGGTGACACTTGCATAGACCTGTACGCCGAACAGATCATGATTCCTCGGATTTTGCTCTTGTCCGCCATGAAAGGGCTATTGGTGCTCGCTCTCTTTCTGATTCGATGTCACCGCCGTCGTCACGCGCGTCAATTGGTTAAACTATTGTCAAAGGAGGTCATTCTTAAGTCCTTTGGTGACGACAACACAAGCAGAAACGCTGGTTTGCGTACTTCTTGGCCATGACTGTGACGTGGCTTACGATCTTTCTTTGCTGTTTTAACTCGTCCATTGCCGTGACGACCTCGTCCATGAGTGGGGCACAGGTGCGACCCCGAATTGTCTTTAGCTTCACGACGACTACTCGAGGGATTGCCGAGATTCAACAGACAGTGGACGCTTTGGTGCATTAAGAGGGTGACGGCTTTGACATTGTGTACGTCATCATTCCTCGGATGTATCGAGACAAAATTGTAGAGGTTCCGCCATGGCTCTTGGACGACAATTCGACGTTGAACCGAACCGAGTTCCGTGGTATCACGTTTGCCACTGGAACAACTCCGTACCACGCCAAATTGAGACTTGTTGTATTGGATACGGACTTTGGTCCAGCGAGCAAAGTGCTCGGGACGCTATTGATTGAGCACGACCCGGATACTCTCATCGTCTATGGCGATGATGACCGATTATATCCGCCTCAGTTGTGTGAACGCAGTCTATACTACACACGCAAATACCTAACGATGCCATTGCGGTTCTGGGAGGGTGGATCTCGGCCGAGGACGGGTTGTACTGCGGACGCAGCCTCGCAGTTGGAGTGAACAGCGTGTCATTTGTAGGAGGAGCGGGCGGAGTAGTAGTGCAGCGCAAGTTTTTTGGAATGGAAGAGATGTCGGCGTTTCAAGTGGCCAATATGTCCAAGGCGTGCTACCTTGGAGATGACTATTATTTGTCCCATTTGCTGAGCTCAATCGCGTGCGGCGACGACTTGTGTCTGATAGCTGCTGGAACATCGATTCGCTCAAGGAATCTTTCTCGCACGGTGGTCTGTCGTACACTTTATCGGAACACCCAGGGGGAGCTAATGTCAAACACTACCAGTAGTGTATCCGGGAAATAGGAAAAGATCAAGATCTTTCATATGATGGTGAGTTTGGATCGCCTATCATGTTCTTCATCTCACGTACGTGGGGTTTGTTTCGAGGTTTACGGAATCGATCCTTTGAAGGAGAATTCGTGACGTGCTGATGCACACATATACATGAGCAAGTCTTAGAGTCTAAAATATAGTAGAAGCTAAATGATGGATTTCTTCGCCTCGTATGATGCGATATTTTCACATCATACGAGGTCACGTGTTGACAAACCAAAAGGGTGTGACCCTGATCTCGTGGTGAAGGCTTCCGATGCCGTGATGCTGTAAAAATACTGTGGTGAAGGAAGCCCTGTCTTGCTCATTCTTCAAATTGCAGTGCAACCAACTCGACTTAACTCCCTCGACTTCGACATCTATGAGTTCTTACTACTTAGCGTTTGTGCTGGCTGTCGTCATCGTGATCACTTGCTTTGTCCAAGACGCAATTGCGATGAACGGCGAGCTACGGATGTACAAGGAGCCAGAATTCAAGAGACTCCGTCGGATCATTAAGGTGTCAACAGGAAACCTGTGCTACGACATGCCGTGTGCTGATCTCAGTAGGACGATATCTTCGGCACGATGGACGGGCCTCCCAGCAACGGGATCAACCTTTGCCGAGGGTCACGTAAAAATTGCGTTCTACGCTGGCAGCAACTGTACGGGCAAATCCATCGTGCTGAACACGAATGCAGGAGAAGTTCGCAACTTCGCGAACTTCGGAATGGACATTGCTACCACGTCATTTGCGGTGCTCCAAACCTCGACGGTGATGCAGCACGCGACGAGTAACATTTGTGAGTAGATAGCTGATAAGTCTAGTTCGAATTGATACTCAAGAAAGTAATGGATGCTTTGGTTTCGTATTGACAGTATCTTGACATTCAACGATGTACAATTTCTCACCGACATGCTTATCTTGATGGCGTGATGATCGTGATTGCATACTTGAACGATTTCATGGCCCATGACGTGAGCTTTGCAAAGCACGACGACGTGTTTGGTTCTCTAGACGCCTGGAGAGAAACGTAGCGGAGTGCTTGTAGTTCATATAGCGAGATTTGACTGGTTGCATCCTTTTCACCATTCTATTGATCTGTATTTCTTTGGTGTGGTGATGCACGTCTTCGTTCTGGGGCTTACTTGTTTTTAGCGGAACCTGATGCGTCGACAGCTCATCAGGGTGTTTTAATTGCTTGGGCTTCGGCAGCTTGGCAGTCTTTTTTAGTTTATTGGGCATCGTCGTGCAAGTCCTTGGACTAGGTTGACCGGGAATCAGGCTCATGGTCGTATGTACGATTGATGGGGCACATCTCGGTCTACTACCTATTACCCACTCGGAGTATCGACGAGCAGCAAAATCAAGTCGATCTGATACGTATGCGTCAAAGTGCGACGATGTCAGGAAGCCAACATCAAACATTGGTTCCTGAACAAAGCAAAATTTGATCGGTGAATACGGTCTTATAGCATTAAACGTCCACTTTGCTCGTGTTCGTTGCAGACGAGGTACATGTAATGACATTGCAACGACGATAACTAGAGAGACTTGCACATTACGAAACGTAGTTTCCATCCGCAAATGACTAGACTGACAGCCTGTCCGCTGGACATTAGGATAATGTATGATGCCCCACTCATCATCAGCATCGCTACTAACGTCGTCAAACTCAGAGGTGACAGGAGTCGGAGCCCTGAATAAAAAACCCAAAGCATTTGCTTAACAGATTCCAGCGTCAAAGAATGACAAATCATACGACGTACTGGTACAAACAGGACTTTATCCGTAATATGATAGAGGTCATGGTGCAAAATTTCATGCACATGATCATAGTTAACGCCTTTTTTTCGAGGTAATGGCGTGTTTGTCATTGTTGTAGTTATGTGGCAACACAAACTGTCAAAATGCATGTTGAAAAGACGCACAGCTTCAACAATAATGTAGAACAAACACATCCGCATTTCTGATTCGTATATATATATATTGCTAATTGTACTACTGTATTACGCATACAAGACGCCTTTTTCTTAACATCTTTTGACTGGCCAAAGTGAGACCATTAAATGCAGTGTAGCCATTTCTAAATCACTAAAATGCCGTCCGTGACCGAGACCAATTACACGACGCCAAGCTTCGAGCAGCTACGTAATGCGCTATTGGATCTATCAGAGCCTACAGGTAAACGCACGCGTGCCATCTTCTATCTGCGCTCTCGTGGCAGCGTGAAGGACCTTCAGGTTTTGCTGACGGCGCTGCTAAATCGCGAGGATTCGGAGCTCATGCGGCACGAGTTGGCCTACGTGATTGGTCAGTTCCGGATGGAGGAGGCTTGTGAGACGCTGCAACAGGTGCTAATGGATGAGTCAGATGACGATATGGTCCGCCACGAGGCCGCTGAGGCTCTTGGTGCCATCGGTGCGGCCCAGTCGCTACCGGTGCTTGAGAAGTTTAGTGCCGACCAAGCACCCGAAGTATCGGATACTTGCAAGTTGGCCGCTAGTTTGATAAAATATAAGCTGGCCAAGGCCAAGGGCGAGATCGTTGAGGAAGAGGTGGACCGCAATCCGTACCTATCAGAAGACCCTGCCCCTGCTGCAGAGAAGAACGTAGAAACCGCCGAGTTACGAAACATTCTACTCGACCACGACGGAGATATGTTTGCAAAGTATCGAGCCATGTTCTCACTGCGAAACCGCAATACGGACGAGGCGGCGCTGGCTCTTGCCGAGGCGTTCGCAGATCCGAATGATCTGTTCAAGCACGAGATCGCTTACGTCATGGGCCAGATGGAGAACCCCGTCCTCGTGCCAGCACTCAAGAAGGTGTTGTTGGACGAAACGCAGCACCGAATGGTGCGTCACGAGGCCGCTGAGGCACTGGGAGCGATTGGAACTACCGAGTGTGAGGACATTCTTAGAAACCATCTCAAGGACGAAGTCCCTGTGGTGCGGGAGAGTTGCGTCGTGGCGCTGGACATTATGGACTACTGGGCGCCTACCAAGTAAACGCTTGCTTTGCATATGGTGCAGTTCACTGACGTGTAGGAATAATACGATACGTTTTTGCATTTGTTAGAAGTCAAGTCTTGTATTAACTACGGTCAAGTCTTGTATTAACTACGGTCAAGCAAACAAATAGCCGACACTCATCCGGTTAAAGTTGCGTAGTGAAGATGGCAGCAGTTTCGAACTCGCTTGAAGACGCTTCGAGAGGGCCAAGCACATGGTTGGTGGTAGCGACACTTCATGCCAAGGCAATAGGCCAGGAATCGCAGGCGTCGGTTGACGAGGACTGTATAAAACCTTCAGCACGCGACAAAACCTTTTTGTATCCTGCTGCTTAATCATAGTCTCCCAGCTTAGCAGTTGTAATTGCAATTCCGTTGACGATGTATCTGCAGTGCTGCCTTGTCTTCCACACGACAGATTGTAATCGCGTTGGTCGCCAGACGATGTCAATACGAATCGGAAAATGCCATCCGAGTCTGCCATTTCCAACAGCTTGGCGCCTAGAATGCTGTCGATCGTGTAGTTGCCGAAGATATTTTCCCTCTTCTGGTCTTCCTCAACGTGGTTATCTTTCGCATCAGCTTCTAGTAATTGGTACGCACTTATGCGGTGCTTGTGTAGACGAACTGTTTCTGGCTGTTCCACACTACGCAGACCAACCAGCTCTGAGCAGGCAACACAGAACAATGGCACCCACTCACGCTCCTCCTTCGCATCGTCGCCAAATGCAACAGCCGCCTCGTCCTCACAATCTATTGCCACAGCTTTTGGCACCAAGTCATAAGCGTGCAACAGTACATATGACTCGCCAACAAGAACTCGATGTAGCTGTGCGTGAATATCGTCACGTGGAATATGCTCAAAAGCTCCAATACCAGCCCCCCAGAAGTCAAACATATCCATCCAATTAGCAGACGGTAGGGGCAGTACTTTTTCAATCTTGACGTATCCCTTGCCATCAAGCAGCTGTGCACTGCACCCTCTACAACACACGGACGCGTAACTCTGCGGTCGTAGCTCGATAGAAGACACTTGCGTGAACGATGAAAATCCGCCCAGCGGTTGCTTGTCACTTGATTGGATCGGGAGTCTCAAGTACCAATGATCCTCTTTATCCTCAACAGAACATTGAGTCGCATCCACATTCCGCTCGATTTCTGTCCGCCACAGAACTTTGACACTTTCTGTGTCCTTGCTGTCCCTGTACATGAGCTCTACGTATGGAAATTCTACTCGAACGCAAAGTTGTGCAACATCAGAAATCTCCATCTGCTTGTAGCCATCTCTATTTTGGCTATCTACAAAGAGATAACACTGGTAGCAGCCAATATTGGCATGATATTCTACCAATGAGTCGACAATTATAGGCACTAGAGGCGACATATTCACTGTAGTAACGGAATTTTGTTCATTCACGTCGAGGCGTTGAAGACTGTGGGTCATTCCCTGCACCAATTCACCCTCACTGATTTTATCACATGTTCTAAGGTCTAATGAATCCTTCTTTGTATGGTTTAGAGTGTCATGAGCTTGCTTTGCGGCTGCAAGCGCCTGTTCTTGCTCTTCTTCGGCGGCGCGTAGCTCTTCGAGCAGCATACTTTGGCTTTGGTGCTTTAATCAAGATGGATCCATTATGTGGTTTCCCTCGGTTTTAAGTATCGTACAAAAATTAGTGTATAGATGGACACACGCTGTCGTCTTGTAATCTCACAACATTGAACCCCACCGAGCAGAAAGGGTAAAATAGGTCCATCTCAAGTTTCGTACCTGGTCCAACATTATGCTACTGGGAACTATAGATCCTGCCTTATAAAAAGTGAGCTTAAAAATTAATATAATGAAAGTATACAATTGAGTTCAACCAAATTTATTTGTCAATATTTAGTTAAAGAGCCCTATATTATACAGTATACCAGGCTTCCACTCCCCTATTTCTTAGAATACAACGTGGTAGATATGCGCCCTTTAGTGTGACGTCGTGTGGTGCACATAGTGATATCAAGTTTTATCCAGTCGTTCTATTGGAATATACGGAACGTACGTTTTGCGATCGTCGTCAAGTCGGAGAGCCCTACGTCTGTGTCTGCAGGTCCGCTCAGTTCCTTAACGGTATTAGTAGCACCTCCTGACGTCCGTCCACCTTTTTCCATCCGTCTTCGCCTCCTCCGTGCAGGCTGCATGGCCTACCTGACTATGACACCCGATGATATTCAGGGTGACTACACATGCGCTATACGAGTCGAAGACTATCGATTGAGCACTAAAAAGGCCGAATACAAGGTCGTAGTACAGCTTTCCTTCTACTCATCGCGCGCACATGCTACAGGTCACACGAGTTGGCACATTTGGCGCAGTTTCTCAGCTTTTCGTAAGCTTGATGAGCAGTTACGCAAGCGCAATGCGACACTTATGAAGGGTGTCAAGTTCCCCCCGCTTTACCGACGCAAAGCGCTCTTCCGAGTGGACAAAAGCCCCGAGTTTTTGGGAGCACGAGCACGTGAGCTCGATAATTATGTGAATGTCGTGACGCACAAACCGCAGCTTGTAGCTTTCCACTTGGCGGCTGTGAGCAGTCAAACGCTCAAGGGTTTTGTAGGGTTTAATTCGGGTTTTGGAGCCAATGCAGACTACGACCAACAGGATGTGAATCTCCGTCCATCATCCTCCATGTTAGCATCCCAAGCGGTCGTGCAAGCCACAGCAAGTGTCATGGGAGATGATGACGACGACTTTCGCTCCGTTTCGAGTATATCCACAGTATCTTCGATTAACTCTACAGCGAGTGACTATCGGTGGTCAGGAACGGGTTTTATAGGCAGTCAGAGCTTTGCAAGACATAATGTACCACAAATGCAAATGGGCGGAGGACGCACGTCGTTTGCAAGCAGTCAAGGATCGTTCGCGGGGTCAATTGGCCCTGGATCGTTGGGGGGGTCAATTGGCCCCGGATCTTCGAGAGGAAGTTGGTTTCCGGCATCGTCGACTGTGTCGGACACCAGCGGACGTGCATCAATGGCGTCAGTCTCAAGTGGATCGATGATGGCGATGACGGCACCTGATGTTATTTCCCCTGAGCTGGATATGCAGCGAGCAAAGATGGAGGATCAGCTGGTGCAGATGGGACTTGTGGGTGTCGGTATGCCGCCCGATGGATCTTGTTTACTACACTGCATTGTATATGAGATGTATCCGCTGCAGTGTCTGCGCGACTACCCAGCAAGTATGACGGTGGTGAATGTAGGTGCGGCAGACGGTATGGCGCCACGACGAGTGGCAGCAGCGCAGTTTTTGCGAGTGAAGCTGATGGAATACGCGCTGGAACACATTAAGAGTCTAGCGGGCTTTCTGATGCAAGACGAAGAAGACGTGCAAGAGCAGTATACGACCTTCCGAGACACACCAGACGAACAGGCTACGACTGCCGAGTTGTACGCGGTGGCGAGCATGTTTAACATTGAGTTGGTGCTGATTTCTAATGACGAGAGTTTTCAGATTGACCCCGTGCTACCAGTAGAAGGTCTTCCGTCAGTGCGTGAAGGCCCGCGGCGTACAGTTACATTGGGTTACCTGATCCCGGGCGATGGACTTGCTGGACACTACATTTGCACGCGTGAGCGGCGTGCACCATTTGGCATACCTCAAAACAGTTTTGCTGGAGGCAGCTACCGTGGGTCTATCCACATAGGGCCACCAAAGAATATGAGCTGCGGCATTTCAAATAACCGGCGCTTCGATCGAATCCCGGAGCAGCGGGTTGAATGAGTTTTTGGGTGGGCTACAGTAGCACGCGGACGCATAGAAGTATCAACAGCAGATCAGACTCAGGCATCCAGATAAGCGACGACAACAGCACGCCACGAAAAATGACATTACACTCAAGCCTCGACAATCCGTCGAATAGGCCAACCACGGCGGAGAAGTCCACGTACCGAGCGACATCATAGTCCGAGACAATGAGAAGAAGCTTACGAAATGGAGCAGCGTCGGTGGATGTGGCCCAAAGAAATGAAGACGGAGACGCTGTCTTTGCAAGCGAGTATGCTCTCAGGTCACACTTGCCATTGGGTGCTTGACAATTATGCTTTGCTCGTATCAGCCTCTTCTACAGCTACAACAACAAGTAAGTTTTTAAAGGTTAATATACACCAACAATAAATGGAGCAAATCTTTTAATGTACATCAGTTTAAGAAAAAAAACTGGAAATATCGAGAGAGTTTGAAACTGTTTTTTTAGTCCCATTAAGATAACTGTTGCGTGAGTGTTGCGCGAAGCTGAAGAAAAAACGCTTAAAGAGAACTTTTATGAGAACAATCCGTTCCTTCTCTATTCCTCAATTGATATAAAACCGTCTCCCAAGATGCAGCTCTTCATTCGTTCGGTATGCCATGGAATGTGCTTACTTTTATAAAAGCTCTAAATCGGTTAACACCGTCTCTCTGTGACGTGTGTGCAGGATGTCGGACGTATGTTGACTGTCTCGGTGGCCAACCCGCGGGCTAAAGTGCACGAGCTTTTGTCATTAATGGAAGCCAAAGATTCACATCTTTGCAGCTGTGGATACCTTAACTACGGCGGTGTGCCGCTGCACGCGTCACGATCTCTGACAGATTATGGCATCCAGAACCACGCTACGCTGGACTTGTCACGACGACTGCAGGGCGGATGCTTCAGCGTCTCGATTTTCTTGTGGATCCTGATCTTTATCTGTTGTTTAATCAGCGTCTGCACTTGTGGCTTGTCATTACCGGTGGCACTGTGTCTTCTACCACCGGCTTTACTCCTACCGCTCTGTTGTTTGTAAACAGGAAGAATTTTGCAAGATACGACACTTTTGTGAATTTGCTTGGCTTGTCGTGGCCAGAATGAAGAAGAAAAGAAGAGAAACAAGTTTTGGTTAAGTTTATCAGACTCAACAACCAGCGCTTTGACACAAGGGCAAAACAAGAACAATAGCTGCACAAACAAGCAATAAAAAGTCGCGTATTCGTTCGTCAAAGAGCATTCTGCTGTCAAGAGAATAACAACCAGATGTTACACCAGCTCGAAAGACGTTGGTCTTAGCATCTCTCTCTGCTGTGACTACAGCGTCACCTCCACCATTGTACGTGTCCTGCATCTTTGAAGCAGCTTTATCTTTCGCCAAATCGAGCGCAAGAAATACAGCTATCTCTGCCACTATGCTGCCCAGATTCTCTAGCTCTCTCTATTTGCGCAACGCTCCAGATCCTGTGCGTTTGCCTCCTTTGCGGCCTTGAGACTTGCTCGAAATCTTCTTCTTCTTCTGGTCTTCATTCTTTTTGCTCAGTGCCTGCACTTTGCTTAATAGCGGCGAGTTCTTGAGAATATCCGGCAGAATGACTAGCTTAATCTGCGACCCGCGCACATACACAAGTTCCAGCTTGGACTTCTGGCCGTCACGTTGCGTCAGTACCACGTCGCTCAACTGGCAGTTCATGCTGTCCTCGCTCTCTGCTAGGTGGCCACGGTAAACCTCTCCATTCTTAAGCTCCACGGTCACGGTACGCCCTTCACTCTCGTGCAGCAGTGAGATCGGCACCCCCACACTCGTCATGGACATTTCGATGGCGACTGGACTGGATGCTTTACTATGCTTTTTAATGTAGCTGTCTGGAAAGCGACGATATCAAGTGAATATTCGTGTTGCTGCAAGGGAACAAAATAGGTACATGTAACTTTAGCAATGTTGCGAGAGTGATTTGTACCCAAAAAAGCTGAAAAATTACCCAATTTATGATGCAACAATTGCTCTCTTAGTCTAGCTAATACTGTATTTTCTCAAAATATACACAAAACATCTATTTAGTCCTTCTTCCAGCAACCAGGCATAGCTTGTATTTCCCAGAATATCGAATATATCACCGAATGAACCGATAACATGAGAGCACAAGAAGAGCAGAATGACCACGATTAATAAGGTGCATGTGTGCATAGATAAATTCTGATGATATTTATGAGCTCGCGAAGAAGTGATGTCTCGAGATCATTACGTAACGCTTTCGATCGCGCGAAATTTCTGAACGCCAAGCATCGGAAACAATGATTTGTCTTTATTGTGCAGTTTATCTACGAAGCTTGATCTCGGTCATTGTACTACCATTGTAAGCATGATGTAAACCATGCTCCAAATGTTTGCAAGCAATTCTACTACAGCCGTCGTCATAAGTCAAAAAAACTGCATCAATCGGTATCGGTCTTGCCCATAGACACTTTCAAATTGCCTCTTCGTATTGTTTCAAAACGAATTTGGACGCCAAGTTGTCTAAGAAACAGGTGCACACGCTGCACGATACTTACAAACTCGATCAAATGTCGCTCCCGTCTCACTCAGCCTATGAGGAAGCAATTGAAACGTACATTGTTTCATTACTATTTATACTAAATGCACACCATGAGCTCTAATAAATTTGTGACTGCTAGCACGATAAGTAGCACTACAACAGGGTACCCATGGCAAAGGAGGCGCCATTGTCAATGGAAGCTTCTAAACTCTCTCGGTTTGCACTAGTTTGCACTAGCATATTACTGAATTCCGAGACTACATTTGGCCATCATAGAATGATGTAGATCCTGAGCAGTATGGACAGCAATTATTTGAGTGGTTGTTTCCAAACAAAGCTAGCAGCTCATTGCAATGAAAGCGTGACAAAGAATCATTAATTTTAAGTGCCAGTGTCGCGCTACCGATACGTCAGCTTAGCCGCTTTTTTTCGCAAATCCTTGATCAGGTCCCTTTTCTAATGCAAACTATCTGCTTGTTAATTGGATTTAAATATTGTGCACGAGACCAAAAAGCACCACAAACCCAAGTGTTTTTTTTCAATCCAAGAGCCACTCTTATGTTCTCGCTCTTCTGGGGGCTATGGAGTTATTTGTTCTCCAAGGCGGAGCTGCATCTACTGATTGTTGGGCTTGATGACGCTGGTAAAACGGTAGGTAAGTAACAGCGGCCAAAACTCTTGTCTAAAGAAGGAAAGAAACCGTTTAATTTGAATGGAATTTGTGTCTGTAGACACTTCTGGAACAGCTAAAAAGTATCTTTAGCAAAAAAACAGGCATCCCTCTCGATAAAATCCCACCCACGGTGGGCCTCAACAGTACGTCTCTCGATTCGAATATAACAAGAGAAAAGCGGAGCTTGAAATAATGTGTGTGTGATAACCAGTCGCTCGAGTTGATATCCGACGATCGAGGGTCATTTTCTGGGATTTGGGAGGGCAGGTGGAGTTACGACTGTAGATATGTTTAACGTCTATAGACGTGTATAACAGATACTTCGTACGTGTAGGAGAGACTTCGAGCAATTTGGAACAAATACTACAGTGAGAGTCATGGCATCGTGTTCGTAATCGACTCGGCCAATGAAGGGAGGTTCCAAGAAGCCAAAGAGACACTGCGTACGTTTATAAGTAACTAATAGATAGTTGAGATTGTCCTAACGATTAGTGTCTTGTTACAGACGCAATGCTGTCAAATCCTGAGCTGTCGGGAATACCGCTACTGGTGCTTGCCAATAAGATGGACTTGGAAGACGCGCAAACCGTGAACCACATATCAGGGATGTTGGACTTAGTAGAGCACCAAGGCGCAGTAGCGAGCTATTCCGTCTGTGTCTTGACAAAGTAAGTTCGGCAGTGACAAGTTTTACCAGCAGTCGATAACTTTGGTTGTCGTTAATGCAGGGAGGGCATTGAAGGCGCAATGAACTGGCTAGTGGATGCTGTTAAGTCTAGCGATCGATTCTACGAAAAGTCAGCTGCAGGAGGCACCTGAATAGCCGACGTTCAAGTGATCTCGCTTGCCAGATTCATTTTGATTTTTATCAAATCTACACGAGGAACTGGTACACAAACTGCAGCAAATTAGATAAAAACGCCGCTGAGAAGCGTGTTCGTTTGTAACAAAACAGTCAGCAACGCCCACTGCACCTTTAGCTTCTAGCTTCAGCCACTCTGTCACTTATCCCTTCACTCCCTTACATTCCTCGGCACGCCTACAGGTTGCGCATGCGCGCCAGGGTGCTGAGCTCCACGAGTGAGTGGCCTGTTCGAAGAGCAATTTCCTCAGCCGTCTCATGCTTGGCAAGCGCGTCAAACGTAGCCTTGACAACAGTAAAGGGATTGCGCTGGCCGTGGGTCTTGGACACAATGTCCGTGATGCCAAAGCAGTCAAGCACACAGGCCACGGTATCGCTCACGGTAAGTCCCTTGTCCTTAGGTGCTGGGCGAAGAAACAGCGTACAGCTGTTCCACTTACCGTGCACTTCGTGGTATAGTGTGCGGTCGTCGAAGCGATCGATGTAGGTAAACCGCTTCATTGCAAGCTTTGTGCCACGCTCGATAGCGATGGGAGGCGATGAGCCCTTACCCACAGCATAACCAGCCACACCACGCATATTGCCGACAACAACGAGCGCGCGAAAGTTAACGATCCGCTCCTGCGTCGTGACTTTCTGTACTTGGTCCACGTGTACGATTTGACGCAATAGCCCCATCCGACCAAGATTAAGCTCGGCTTCCTCTTCATCATCAGCAAACTCCATCTCATCGCCTTCTTTGTTCATAGCACGCATGTCTCGTAGAATACCTGTGTCGGGCGTGAGATACTGGCCTGGCTGGTCTGGGTCCACCAGCGTAATGCCGTCCTTTTTAAACTCATCCAACAGGCGACGACGCACCTTGCCACGGTTCTCGGGGGCTACGACCATAAAGCGGCTTTTCTTGGCTGCTTCCGGCATCGTCTGACGACGCGGCATGGAGTCACGGCGATCCTTGTCAATGATCTTGTCGGGCCCCTCGTCAAAGTCTTCGTCGGATATACGCCAGTCCTCTTCAGATGAAAAGCTAGCCATCTGCAATTTGATGGCGGTAGATCGGCTCTGCTGGCGAGCACTTAGGAATGCGCTAGAGCGCACTGCCAAGCGCTGTAGCATCCTCATACACCTTTACGAAGCCGCTCGAACGATGCAATGAGTGGCCAAACTGAACTCGGTATCAAAAAGCTTCAAATTGACCAATGACTAAAATTTCACTATTTTAGCCAATTAGAAATGGTTTCCCTTTAGACAATCACTCTTAAAAGTCCGCACTAATGGTAGCGGAGGATGACCGCACTGGCCCCCAATGCACAAGAGTAGATTGCACTTTGTATTGTAACGAAGTAAATCGGCTGCGTGGTGATCTGTTAAAGAATCGATGGAAGAACAAGCACTTACGCGAGCAATTAGTCGCTCTGCAGTCTTATACCAGTGCGCGAGAGGCCAAGACACAGCAGACATTGCAGAGGAAGGACGACGAAATTTTATGCCTGAGTAAGAAAGTCGCTGGTCTTACAATGAAACTACAGCAGCAATTTCTCCATACCTCGTCCATTGAAAAGCCTTTTGTAGTGCCTTTAAAGCAAAACGTTGATGCTTTAGAGACGTGCAATGCGGTATTTGAGAGCAATTATGAGGACGCACACGCTTGGAAAGAGCGAAAAAGTGCGGCTAGGATGAAATCTCAGCGACAAGTGATTCAAGTGGTGAAAGAAAGGACGGACAAACAGAGCGAGCTCTATACGACATTGAAGATGAACGAAATGCTGCGAGACGAGGTCGTGCACCTGCAAAAAGCCAAGAAAAAGTTGTTGAATCAAGTGGAACAGTCTTTAATTTTGGTGGCTGCGATACAGAACCAAGTGGAAAGATATCGAGACGCGGTAGGTGAACATACATTGGAAATTACGCAGCTGCTGACGAAGGTAAAGCAGCTTGAGTCGGAAAAATTGTTACTGAAAGAAAAGATTATTGAGATAGACGAGAGAAAGACGACCAATGGAAATGCTCTTGCGAGCGATACGAAGGCCGTGCTAATGAAGAAAGCTGTGTTTGTTGTTTGGTTGGGTGAGCTACGGCGGAAGCTGATGCAGCATGATCAGCATCAACGTCATGACAAGGAGAAAAAGGATACTGTTTGCGTCAGTGTAAGTACTGCTACGGGTGATTTGGAGAATCAACTTGAAATGCTGCAAGAATTGTGCATTCGAGACAATAGCACCATGTTTGAGTTGAGCTTACAACAAAGGAGCGATGCAGAGAGCCGTGTAGAGCTTTTGGATATAGATGCTGTGGTCGAAAGCGCCATCCAGGCCGCTGTACAAAAGCAACCTCCGCCAGTTGGCACTAGAAACGACGATAGGGGTGAAAATCTACGTGCACTTGACGCTGCGAAAGCAACGTCACAACAGCGAGAGAAGGTATGTTATCATTTGCGACCAGAAGTCACTTGCAGCAAATCGCAGGATGGAGATGATGATGTGTGGTTTGCAACGGTTAAAGACGAAGGTTTTGCTCGTGTAGGGAAGAATAATAAGCATGAGTCAAGACAAGCTGAGCGGCGTACGAACGTGACGGGGAGGGGAAAGGAGCACCTGGTATCGTCGGAAGGTCGCGCAAGTGTAGATGAGCTTCAGCACCAATTAATGCAGATCAAGGTGACGTATCAGCAGTTTCGTGTGCAGTACGACCTGCTTACAGAAAAACAGCAACAAACGATTTTGGAATACCAACGGATCGTGCCAGAAATGGAAAAGACAGCTCAGGAGCTAAATGTAGTCCGAGAGAAGTCAAATGACAAGATTCAAATACTGGAAAACGCAATATGCATGATGAATGATCGCGACTGGACAGCTCGGAATACGAAGTGGAAAGCTTTTCGAAAGCGGTTAAATGCGTTAGAAGATGCAATACAGGTCGAACAGCTGCGCCGCAAGCAACTGAACAAAGACTTCGAGAACGAACCGGCCCAACTACCACTACGTAACCTCAGGCGACAATACGGTTACCAAAGTGAGACAGGTCAGCTAAAGAGCCAAGTGGATGCGTCAGAAATACGAGAACGTTTGCTCATTGGACAGCTTCAAGCTGCTTCGAATACTATTGGGTGGAAGGAGAACAAGATGCGATTACAAGCCGAACTTTTTGAGACAAGGATACTCAATGAGGACCTCAATCGGCAGCTGGAGGTGGTTCAATCTCGTAACTATAAGCTACTACGGCTAAATGGAGAGCTGGAAGCTGAAAAGCGAGAGTTAAGGTCTAAATACGAGGATCTGGAGCTGGGCTTGCAGAACGCGAGTACAAGACTTTTAGGCAGGCTGAAATTACAGCAAAGTAACCAACGTGATGAACAAGTGACGATCGCTAGCCTGACGCAGCTTTTAAACGGAAAAAATACGTTGATCAACCAATATCAGCGGAAACTAGCGATTGTGCAGGTTTCAAGTGCCCAGGATAAAGCGCATGCTCGACTGGAGACGACTCAGCTCACTGAAGAGAATCAGCGCATGATCGCGCAGCTTAAAAAGACTATGATTGCTGTGAGGTTTATGGAAGGCTCCGGCAAGAGTAAGCAAGCGCTACAAGCTGTTCAAGAGTGTTATGACCATGTTTTGCAAGAGTGGAAGCAAGCAGAGGTTGCACTAAACAATGCTAGGCAATCGATTTGGGAGTTTCAGATTAAACAGAAAGTACTGCAGAACGAACGAGATCTCGCTGAAGCTCGTGCGATGGAGGCACTTGAGGAAATTGTGCTGATGAGAGAAAATGAGGGGAAATTAAAGTTGTTGTGTGAAGCGATTATCAAACTGAAGGAAGAGTTTCTGACGCCAGAGGATATTGACGCTGTCGAGTTTGCAAAGGCACAGGAGGTGATGAACCAAGATATATGTGCGCGAAAGCGAAAAGAGAACGAACGACGCGAGGATGAAGAGAAGAATTGGCAAGAGGAGAAAACACAGTTGCAGAGCCAAGTACAAATATTGCAAAAGGAGTTGGCTTTACTGGAAATAGAAAATCAACAACAGCGCACAAAACGCAACGCTGAAAAAGAGAGGGCAGAAGACAAGAAGAGCGCCTTGAAGACTGATCTCCAGGTATCAAGCGACGAAGTCGAGCGCGTAGAGCGTCTTTTAAAAGATCAAGTAGTAGGCGAGGCGAGGGCAGTCAAAGAGCTGGAGGGCAAAATCAAGGCCTTACAGGCTCAAAACGTTGCGTTGCGTGTGGCATCCACTCATGCGTCAGTGACATCAATTAATGTAGCTGACGCGAAAGAGAAATGCGAGCAGGTCGAGAAAGAATGCAAGCTTCAGCGCCGTGTCGAAATTTTGACGCTACGCCTCAAAGAAAAAGAGGTGGTCGTGGCAAACAAAGACAAGGATCTCACACGCTATGGTGAGCGAGTATTAAACTTGGAGTCAGAGGTGCAAGAAAGGCATGGAAAAGAGCATTTGACGCAAAATGCTAGTGCACCAGCGGCTATCTCTGTGTCCGCCAAGCAACATGTGGAAGAGTTGGAATTTCAAAATGCATTTTTTCGAGAAACACTGGCGCTATCGCGCAAGGATTGGAAAGAATCGTTTTATGGCAAAATGACGAGCAATGAAGCACAGTTACAGCATCTTCGTTGGCAACTCGTGCAGAATGGTGTATCTTTGAATAACAGCGCTCCTGGCCATGAGATGAATGGCACAATCGGGCATGGCTCAAACTTACGAACACAACGTGAGGGGCAGCACTTTTTTGTAGGCCAAGAAGTTCAAGAGGAAATTTTAGGTCATAGTAATGAGCTGCGAAACAAGAAGCAACATGTGGTGGCGAAAGACACCAGGTTGCTCGAACTTGAGCTGGAGAACAAAAGTTTGCGCCTTGAGTATATGCGGCTTCGACGAAAGATCCGGTGCGGCAGTGGTGATCTGCCTGACAGCAAAAATGCACAGAAACAGCTTCGTGGGGCCAAAGGTATAGGTAGTGGAGACCGACGATCTTTACGGGCAGCACACGAATGGCTGGAGCTTGAGGATGTTGTAAAAAAGATGAAATTTGCGATAGAGGAATTGCGCGCAGAGAATAATAAGCTGAAGAAGGCGGCGAAGAGCAGGCCTCAGTATCTCTTGAGAGAGGAGATTTAATGCGATGCAAGCTTAAAGAGCAGAAAGATGTACAAAATCGGTTAGAAGTCCAATTGCAGAAACCACACTATGAAAGTAGCGAACTGGAGATTGACAAACTCAGGCTCCAAGAGAAGCTTCGCGCCAAGACTGCCTCACCGAGTTTACGAAAAAAGCGAGTATTCGTTGGAGCTTCAACTGAAAGAAAAGGACTGGTAGCTGTTACAATTAGAGCCGGAGATGGCAGATATACGACATCATGTGCTTCATCTTGAGCTGCAGGTCGAACGCAATGCCGATACGATGCTGAGCAGCAAGAGTGAAGGAATTGCAAACACAAGTGCTCTAGCTTGAGGATGAAAACGCAAAGCGAACCCCGTTCGGCAAAGCTTTCTTTAAAGAGATAGAAGACCTTAAGTACAAATACGCACGAGCTGCGCGACAAGCATCAACTGGAGAAACGACTTGCATGGGACGTAAGCGTTGTCTCTGCCGCGGTGCCATCATCGCTTCGCAGTAGAGCTAAGCGTTGATCTAGTAGTCGTCGCCGCGAGACACAACCTCCTTGCACGTGGGGCGCAGGATGATCGTGTGCTCGTACTGTGCCGTGTAGCTACCCTTCACATCCACTAGTGGCGGGTATGCCGTGACAATTCCCGTATCCACCAGATTCTTCAGAGCCATTAGGTACTTTTCCTGTTTGGCACCCTTCGGGTTGATGGCGGCAGAGCCACCATCCTCGCGCTCGATCCATCGGCGGCACCACGGCAGCGTGCCAAATGTCCGAGTGATGTGTCCTAACAGCTTCTTGGCACGGGGCAGACGCAAAGGCACATGAGGTGCGTCAAACGCCTTCGCATAATGCGAGCATTCGCCGTCTTCAATCACGTAACCACGACCAGTGGTGTTAAACGTTTCAATAGCGAAAATCTCGCCCTCCTCCATCTTGGTCTGGTCTTCCGTCTTCACAATCGGAACGCTTTTGCCAGCGTGGATCTGGTACGGACCGATGGAGTGGCCGTTCAAGTTACGAATTGACTGGACCGGGTAGACCTTGCCCTCAATTGTGACCTCAAACGACTCCATAACTTCCTGAATAGCGCCACCAATTTCACCCAGCCGGGCGTCGATACCAGCGTTTGCAATACCCGCCTCCGTAGCAGCCTTGGCAGCCTTAAGCAGCGGATCAAACTGCGGGTCAAATGCCACGGTCCACGCACTGTCGATGATGCGTCCATTGACGTGCGTGCCAAAGTCCACCTTCATGACGTCCCCATACGACAGAACCGTTTCGTCGCCCGAATTGGGCGTGTAGTGAGCCGCTACGTGGTTCAGTGAGCAGCCCGTAGGAAAGCCAATGCCGCGCTGGACATATACACCACGCCTAGTCAGATCATTCCATTCACAAGAGCAGCTAAACTTTTACTCTACGTACAGCAAAACCAGCTTCAACAACGAGCTCGCGGTTCTTGTTCTCAAGCTGCGTGCACATATCGATGAGCTTTACTCCAGGTTTCATGATACTCTGTGCAAACTTGCGCACATGACGGTGCACTTCGGCCGCGTGGCGCACCGTCTCATACAGATCTTCTTGCGCTCGGTCCAACGCGCGCTTTTCCTCGCTTGTAATGCGGAATGTGTTCAAGTCTCCCGGATGGTCTTGAATCTCGCCCTCGGGGTAATGACCGTCCGGAAAAAGCTTTTCAATGGGGATCGTGGGTGGCTCCGTTTGACCCACAGCCACGTAGCTATCTGTAAAGCCCGAAACGCCACGGAATGGCGGCAACTTGGAACCTGTAACCGCAATGCTCTTCTTTTTCCTGCTTTTCTTCTTCTTCTTGTTCTTATTGCCTCCGCCCTCCTTCGTCACCATCTCGCCGCTATCGGGCGATACCCTGACATCTTTCTCAACCTCCGGCGTAGTCATTGCGTCCCCCTGCTCTTCCAACTTGACCATTCGTCCACAATTTTTTTATTGAGTTACGACACAAGGACTGGTTACGGTTAGAGCGTAACACGGGCTTGTGTTTGGTGTACTGTACGTATGCCACTTAAATCGGATCAACGTCAGAATAACGTCATCTTAAAGGTACAAACGCCTCTCAACAAGCAATGGCGACAGCAGTGGGGGCGGAAGGCTTGTTCACAAAGATGGTCGTATTGTCTCAGCTCACGTATACTGAGTTTGCACTTCTCCGTAACTTTGTTTTCGCGACGGAGGCACGATGAAGCATGATTCTCTACTCGATTTGAGAGCTCGTGACGCATTGCATCAATCGATCTAGTGTCACTCATCACGACGCCAAATCCGACGACTTTACCAGAAAAAACTTGCAGAAATGCAACCCTCTACAGAAGATAGTCGACTCTTGTCAAGTGTTTGGAGGCATCGACTACACTCACAACCCGATTTGCCTCCAAGACAGCAAGTCAAGTACCTATCTACTTCGCCAACTAGCTCAAGCTGACACTACGACGATGAAATTCACTATCTTCCTCTTCGCTGCTATCGCGGTTCTAGGTGTCGTCACGGGTACCGACCAACCTGCCGTGAAAACAGCCGCCGAAGCTCTCGAGAAGATTCAGGCGTCCACATTACCTGACGGCGTCACGCTAACCGGGATGTCGGAGAAGATCGACCCACCTGCTTCAGCCACTGTAGTTGCTGTAAAGGAGTCAGAAGTCGATGACGGCAAGAACAAAGAAGATGACGAGAAAAAGGAGCAATTCGGCTGGGGCCTCGGTGGCTGGGGAGGATGGGGCGGCTGGGACGAAACCCGTGTCCACTCACGACGCGTCTTCGGTGGAGGCATCAAATGTTGAGCCAGTGACAACTACCGCGCCATTACACGCTGAAAGTTGCTAAACGATATGTAGCTCAGCATTGGAACGGTTCTGGCAGTGGCTTTGTTGGATTCATCCTCGATGTGAATGCTCTTCAAGTCTCAACAAATAATGTAGTTGACAGTCGTGGCACAAGATGAGGCTTCTCGACATCCAGATTTTGACGTTGCGTGTCACTGACATAAGGTCTATGTGTTGATGTGGGGACGAAAGCGTTGGTAGAAAAGCGCGTCAAGCCGATGCATTTGTATGAATAAATCTCCGTTGGCGATTGAGCTGCACTTATATTCTACCGAGAGCTGATTATATTCGCGTGCGATGGCTAGGCGCTCTTGCAGCTAGGCTGTAGCAGCTCAGCACTTAGCACGACTTCAATAATTTGTTCACGTCGTGCGCTTTTCCTGCTTCTCGTGCTCGTGCTCAGCCGCAGCTGCTAGCGCAGTGTCGCGCAGTGCTTGAAATTTCTGGAAACGTCCACGGCTGGCAGATGCTAGACAGATTCGTCCGCGATGTCGCGCAAGAGCAAGTATCCGAAGCACTTCGTTTCGACTCTGGTAACATTTTTTCAGCTGGACCAAATTTTTGCGGAGAAGCAACACAGTGTTGTTAAGAAAAGGTGGACGAGGAAGAGGCTGTAAAAAAGAACACGAAAAGCTGCTGGGAGTTCAAGAAGGTGCCAACCAGCGGAATAAAAGTGCCTTTTTAGTCAATCGAATTCTTCCCCTTGCGAGCTCGAGTCTGCACAATGGGTACATTGTGATGGTTCCAATGCATTACGTGTGGGCTGACGTCACGAGCTCTTTGTCAAATAGGTACTGCTCGGCTGAGTACGCCACCTTTGTGTATTTTATTGACTGCAGACAAGAAACTATAAGTTCATTCTTATCCTTCCTGTCGGAAGAATATGTACTGTTTGTACGCTTATGCAGCTCCTAATAGCTCTTCAATTGCCTTCAAGAGTGATACTGCCTTGGGTCTCTTCTCTGGACTCTCCTGCAAACACTTTGCTTTGATTGTCTCCAGCTTGGCCGGAAGATCAATGTTTGACGTCTCTAAAAGGTAGCCGACGCTCCAAATGTCGACTTTAACCGTATGGGACGGACACGACAGTATTTCAGGAGCATGCGATTCTGCCTTCAAATGTTTCACTGTTGCAGACGGTGACAGCGCTCCGTCGTCGAAGTCAATCAGAAACCACTTGTCATCTTTATCTTGGTACTTCAGCACGTTTTCCCATCTCAAGTCTCGATGCATTATATTGATTGCGTGCAGTGCCACTAGCGCCTTCAGTATGTCGCGCAAAGCCGTCAAGAGCTGGTGGACGTTTTCAGGTGCAGCTAGTCGACCAACAGGAGAAAGCGTTACGTGTTTTTTCTTCATGTTTCCACTTTTTAGCTGCACAACGTTCGGGACCGAACGTTCCTTCATTCGACGATGAAGATCCTTTAAGTTTCGGATTATGGTGTCACTTGGCATATCCGACGGATACGTCTTCACCACACAATCCTCTGCGAACGATATCTGCACACCATTGCCTTGTTCGATAGTGCCGTACTCGCGTACGTTCATCGGCTGGATAAGATTTACAAGTGGTCGGAAAAGAGTCGAGAGGTTGAGCAATGCAAGAAAAAACGAAAGCCGGCTACTGAGATCACCCAAATCGTATGTTTCAACAATTTCCGCTTTTGCACCGCGCTCCGTCATCTCGTCTTTTCGAATAGCTACCAAGCACACTTGTAGTCCCACAGCAGCGTAGCCAAAAATGTACGGCGCATCGTCATACCTCCATATCAGTTTCTCATGCAATTCCTTAATCGGCACGTCCAACACTCCACTTGCTTTTTCTTTCCCACGAAATACGCACACATTGCTTCTGCCATAGTAAAAGCACAAATCTGGTCGATAGAGGCCAGTAGCAGCAGAAGCATTCGTGTTGCGACGATAGCTCCCTCTTATCACACGCTGCAGCAGTGTCGCAATGAGGCTATCCCACAGGTAAATGTATGTTTGTTCGGTTTCGGACTCATAGCAGCTAGGGGGATTTACAAAATTCCTCACGATCGCAGAAGTGTCATCCCCAACGTCTGTACGTGGCTCAGGCTCAAATAGCTTGTCGAAAGCGCGAGCACAACTTCCAATCGTGTAATGCGCAAAAATTACTTGATAATGCCGATATGGATAGGGATTTTAGTACGAAGTGGGCGTCGCAGATGCTTTCTCAAATCTCCACAGGTCAATGGTAAAACTGTAACCTGCTCATTCTTAATTGCATCCATCCAAGCGTCCTTAGCATCTTCATCCGCCTTTCTTCGCTTCCTCTCGTTTCCGAGTGCCGTAAATTCCTCAGGAACCACCACCAACACGTGAATTTGTCTCCCTACTGGGTCCTCCATGCCTTCAAGGAAATCGGCAATATAGTCTTGCCCCCGCAGCTTTCGGTCTTCTTTCGTTAAATCTACAACGCGAGATGTCATCTTGCCCTCTTCTAGCTTTATTACATCGTCCAAACTCGAGGGTAGCCACTTGCCGATTTCCATCTTGGCAGGAAAGAGCTGCAATTCATCAGCAGGAAATTGGTACATCCTCTCAACCTTGATCGCCTTCTTTAAGTCATCCACCAAGTCATCCTTGTGAACTTGGACCGAAAAAACGGTTTGGCTCACGCCAACGATCGCGCATATCAACTTTACCATTTGTTCTTCAAGCAGCAAATTCTAGAATGAGAGAGAAGGAATAGACAAAGATTTAATTCGTAAATGACTATGACAGATTGTATAGGACACTATACTGGGGCCAAGATGTGGGACATCCTTGCATGCTGATGGGTGACCACCAAAAATAATATCGATTTTTGCAGCACCAGAGATGGAGGATTATGAAAACAGTAGATAAAAAAAATCTTCTATGTTTCATACGGCTACAATGCTGGACAGTACCGCCTACATGGATGCTTCCTTGCTACTTAATACAGGTAAGTAAAGTGTACCCACAGCCTCAGACGTCCTCGCACCTTCTTTGCCGCGATTAAAATCATGCGCTTGCAGAATTTGATACGACTTAGAGAGAGAGGCAGATCGGGTGTGAGTGTAGTCGATGCCTCCAAACACTTGACAAGAGTCGACTATCTTCTATAGAGGGTTGCATTTCTGCAAGTTTTTTCTGGTAAAGTCGTCGGATTTGGCGTCGAGATGAGTGACACTAGATCGATTGATGCAATGCGTCACGAGCTCTCAAATCGAGTAGGGAAACATGCTTCATCGTGCCTCCGTCGCGAAAATAAAGTTACGCAGAAGCGCAAACTCAGTATACGTGAGCTGAGACAATACGACCATCTTTGTGAACAAGCCTTCCGCCCCCACTGCTGTCGCCATTGCTTGTTGAGAGGCGTTTGTACCTTGAGATGACGTTATTCTGGCGTTTGTAGGAACGTGTTAGCGTGTATTCCGACCCGAATAGCAAAAACATGAAGGGGCGCATAAATGGCGCTTCTATCATGTAGTAAGGAGAACAATACTCCTCGAATTCCGTAAAGACGAAAGCTTGTTGGTATTGTCATTTACTTCACCTTCGCTTCCATTGAGAAGTACTCTTCTCGGTCCAACTTCATTCTGTCACAAATTTGCCCGTCAACTTCCAGCATACGCGTTTTCCCAAACCAGTATGTAGATTAGTGCTATTTAACGTGCTGAGTAATCGCAGTGCTATTAAGGCTCATGGTGTGCGCCAAATCTTTACTTTGGTATTCATGGCCCTCCTGTTTTCTCAAGTAAGACAATAAGCATGGGTACATGTACCTCATAGGTATATGCAACGAATGACTTGGCGCCAAAATATCGACAGCTACCCGCTTCTCCAAAACACAATATTACTTTGGCCGGAACTATCTGGCAGCGATTTCGAGCTTGGTTTGCGGGCTACTTGAAATTTTAAGCAGCCCTGAAGTTTGACGCTGCTTTAGGCTCCGTAGCGACGCAAATGAGCATTTCAAATAATGCTGTTGCTATCTGCTCCTTCAAGTGTAGTTTACGGCAAATACAGTACGACTCCACCGTTCATTAACGGCTTTTACTGGTGGCATCGCCATCAAAATTGGAGATAGGGATGGTAAACGTACACTTGCCTTGTGGAAGAAGCTAACATTATTACACTTTCAGAAATGCGTCAACGCTTCTATACTCATCACTTCTCCGATCGCACTTGCCGCCTTCTTGTATAATCTGCGTTATTTTGAATGATCAGACCGTTCATCTTGTATACAAAGACGACGGTTGTTTGTGAGCGCTGCATGTCACGCATTGCAGGACCACCTTCACCTCTGCATACAAATTGTCTTTCCAGTCCGATTTAAACTGTCTTTTCGTCGTGTTCTTGCAGCTCACATCGATCGCAAGCCCAATGTGCAAGCTTATTGGTATACTTAAATTTGGACTCATGGCGAAAGGAGATGCCATTGAGAAGATGCCATTGTCAGTGAAAGTTACTAAACTGTCGGTTTGCACTAGCATATTATTGGATTGCGGAACTACATTTGGCCATATAGGATGATGTTACTGTGATCCTGAGCAGCATGGACAGTAATTATTTGAGTGGTTGTTTCCAAACAAAGCTAGCAGCTCATTGCAATGAAAGCGTGACAAAGAATCATTTATTTAAAAGTGCCAGCGTCGCGCCACCGATACGGCAACAATAGCTATGAATTGCAAAACTGTCGTGTCAACTTAGCAGTAATAGAGACCACCGAAGGGCAGACCCAGACCGCATCCGCCACCGTACAGACCAACACCAAATCTATTCCAGTAGCCCAACGGATAGGCCCAGCCAGGGAGGCCGCCGTACATGAAGCCGAAGCGATAGGGTCCATAGCCGCCCCAGCCGCCCCATCCTCCCCAGCCGCCGAGGCCCCAGCCGAATTGCTCCTTTTTCTCGTCATCTTCTTTGTTCTTGCCGTCATCGACTTCTGACTCCTTCACAGCAACTGCAGTGGCTGAAGCAGGTGGGTCGATCTTCTCCGACATCCCGGTTAGCGTGACGCCGTCAGGTAATGTGGACGCCTGAATCTTCTCGAGAGCTTCGGCGGCTGTTTTCACGGCAGGTTGGTCGGTACCCGTGACGACACCTAGAACCGCGATAGCAGCGAAGAGGAAGATAGTGAATTTCATCGTCGTAGTGTCAGCTTGAGCTAGTTGGCGAAGTAGATAGGTACTTGACTTGCTATCTTGGAGGCAAATCGGGTTGTGAGTGTAGTCGATGCCTCCAAACACTTGACAAGAGTCGACTATCTTCTATAGAGGGTTGCATTTCTGCAAGTTTTTTCTGGTAAAGTCGTCGGATTTGGCGTCGTGATGAGTGACACTAGATCGATTGATGCAATGCGTCACGAGCTCTCAAATCGAGTAGGGAATCATGCTTCATCGTGCCTCCGTCGCGAAAATAAAGTTACGGAGAAGTGCAAACTCAGTATACGTGAGCTGAGACAATACGACCATCTTTGTGAACAAGCCTTCCGCCCCCACTGCTGTCGCCATTGCTTGTCGAGAGGCGTTTGTACCTTAAGATGACGTTATTCTGGCGTTTGTAGGAACGTGTTAGCGTGTATTCCGACCCGAATAGCAAAAACATGAAGGGGCGCATAAATGGCGCTTCTATCATGTAGTAAGGAGAACAATTCTCCTCGAATTCCGTAAAGACGAAAGCTTGTTGGTATTGTCATTTACTTCACCTTCGCTTCCATTGAGAAGTACTCTTCTCGGTCCAACTTCATTCTGTCACAAATTTGCCCGTCAACTTCCAGCATACGCGTTTTCCCAAACCAGTATGTAGATTAGTGCTATTTAACGTGCTGAGTAATCGCAGTGCTATTAAGGCTCATGGTGTGCGTCAAATCTTTACTTTGGTATTCATGGCCCTCCTGTTTTCTCAAGTAAGACAATAAGCATGGGTACATGTACCTCATAGGTATATGCAACGAATGACTTGGCGCCAAAAATCGACAGCTACCCGCTTCTCCAAAACACAATATTACTTTGGCCGGAACTATCTGGCAGCGATTTCGAGCTTGGTTTGCGGGCTACTTGAAATTTTCACCAGCCCTGAAGTTTGACGCTGCTTTAGGCTCCGTAGCGACGCAAATGAGCATTTCAAATAATGCTGTTGCTATCTGCTCCTTCAAGTGTAGTTTACGGCAAATACAGTACGACTCCACCGTTCATTAACGGCTTTTACTGGTGGCATCGCCATCAAAATTGGAGATAGGGATGGTAAACGTACACTTGCCTTGTGGAAGAAGCTAACATCAATACACTTTCAGAAATGCGTCAACGCTTCTATACTCATCACTTCTCCGATCGCACTTGCCGCCTTCTTGTATAATCTGCGTTATTTTGAATGATCAGACCGTTCATCTTGTATACAAAGACGACGGTTGTTTGTGAGCGCTGCATGTCACGCATTGCAGGACCACCTTCACCTCTGCATACAAATTGTCTTTCCAGTCTGATTTAAACTCTCTTTTCGTCGTGTTCTTGCAGCTCACATCGATCGCAAGCCCAATGTGCAAGCTTATTGGTATACTTAAATTTGGACTCATGGCGAAAGGAGATGCCATTGAGAAGATGCCATTGTCAGTGAAAGTTACTAAACTGTCGGTTTGCACTAGCATATTATTGGATTGCGGAACTACATTTGGCCATATAGGATGATGTTACTGTGATCCTGAGCAGCATGGACAGTAATTATTTGAGTGGTTGTTTCCAAACAAAGCTAGCAGCTCATTGCAATGAAAGCGTGACAAAGAATCATTTATTTAAAAGTGCCAGCGTCGCGCCACCGATACGGCAACAATAGCTATGAATTGCAAAACTGTCGTGTCAACTTAGCAGTAATAGAGACCACCGAAGGGCAGACCCAGACCGCATCCGCCACCGTACAGACCAACACCAAATCTATTCCAGTAGCCCAACGGATAGGCCCAGCCAGGGAGGCCGCCGTACATGAAGCCGAAGCGATAGGGTCCATAGCCGCCCCAGCCGCCCCATCCTCCCCAGCCGCCGAGGCCCCAGCCGAATTGCTCCTTTTTCTCGTCATCTTCTTTGTTCTTGCCGTCATCGACTTCTGACTCCTTCACAGCAACTGCAGTGGCTGAAGCAGGTGGGTCGATCTTCTCCGACATCCCGGTTAGCGTGACGCCGTCAGGTAATGTGGACGCCTGAATCTTCTCGAGAGCTTCGGCGGCTGTTTTCACGGCAGGTTGGTCGGTACCCGTGACGACACCTAGAACCGCGATAGCAGCGAAGAGGAAGATAGTGAATTTCATCGTCGTAGTGTCAGCTTGAGCTAGTTGGCGAAGTAGATAGGTACTTGACTTGCTATCTTGGAGGCAAATCGGGTTGTGAGTGTAGTCGATGCCTCCAAACACTTGACAAGAGTCGACTATCTTCTATAGAGGGTTGCATTTCTGCAAGTTTTTTCTGGTAAAGTCGTCGGATTTGGCGTCGTGATGAGTGACACTAGATCGATTGATGCAATGCGTCACGAGCTCTCAAATCGAGTAGGGAATCATGCTTCATCGTGCCTCCGTCGCGAAAACAAAGTTACGGAGAAGTGCAAACTCAGTATACGTGAGCTGAGACAATACGACCATCTTTGTAAACAAGCCTTCCGCCCCCACTGCTGTCGCCATTGCTTGTCGAGAGGC